TACACAAAGCTGAAACTATTTCCATGGGAGGTCTGGGAGAATCTGAGCACTTGGTTGCAGCATATTTGATGAAATAAACCACAGTGGTGGTGTGCAGAGTCTGTCTTCAGGGTAAGGGCTGAAAGTGCAGGAAGAAAGGTTTAAGGCTGAAGCAGGTATTAGGAGGCCACTGGACCAGTCTCGGCAAAGGTGCTGAAGGATGGATCAAAGTTAAACTTGTTGTCTGGCTGGCATGGCTCAGTGTGAGCATCGACCTAGGAACCAGGTCAGTTTGATTCCGTCAGGGCACATGCCTGGATTGTGGCCTTGATCACCAGTGTGGGGCGTGCAGGAGGTAGCCGATCAATGATTCTCTCTCATCATTGATGTATCTGTCTCTTACTCTCTGAAATCTATATATCTATATATGTATATACATACATACACATTTATTAAATTTTTTACATTGGGAGAAAGGTTGTTAGACAAGTCCCATCAAGATAACAATAATGGCCCTACCCAGTTTGGCTCAGTGGATAGAGCATCGGCCTGCAGACTGAAGGGTCCCAAGTTTGATTCAGGTCAAGGGCATGTACTGTGGTTGAGGGCACATCCCCAGTAGGGGATGTGCAGGAGGCAGCTGATTGATGTTTCTCTCACATTGATGTTTCTAACTCTATCCTTCTCCCTTCCTCTCTGTAAAAAATATATTTAAAAAAAATAATAATGTAAAAAATAATGTTACATTATTTTTAATGTAAAAATAATAATGTAAAAAGCAAATATTTTTTTTGTTCAAAAAAGGAAAATGCTATTGACCACTGATGACTATTTAAAGAAAGGAAGCAGAGAAGTAGGAAGTAACTTCAAATATCACAGGAAAAATATCTGACAATTATTGCTCTACAATGTGTTCAGGTTTAGGCCTAGGTTTGTCCCAATCATTGTGATAGACACTGCACCCCTAACAGAGAAGGCTAAAAAGACTAATACCAGTAACCCTGATGTTTGGGGGCTAGCAATCTGAATCTGTGCAGTAACCTTATGTACATTCTTGATAAACTATGTCACTTTCCTCCACAATCTGATCTTGCAAGACCCGTTACCTAAATGCTCATTTTACAGAGGCCATAAGCCATGATATTGCCCCCAGAGGCGGGTTATCAGCCCTGGCATCAGGCCAGGCCCTTAGATATGACCCTCAAGACCCCCATTCCAACCCACAGGGCTTCTTGCAAAGCCCATGAAAGGTCCAAAGTCCCCATCCATATTTGGGGGACAAAGAAACCAAAAGGGGATAAAAGGGCTTTCACCATATTGGTTTGCTCAGACTCTGGAGGCAACTCCTCTGAGACGGCTGGTGTAATAAAGCTGTGTAACTCCAATTCTCTAAGCGTAGCTTGGGTTTCTTTGGTCTTCTACAATAAAATGAACATCAACGACCCACGTATGAAATTTCCAATTGATAGAAGGAATAGAATGACACACCGCCTTCCACATTTGAAGAAACTTTAGTTCTTAAAAAATTACCAATTTTATTGGCCTGTTATTTCTTTTGTCTGCTTTCATGCCATGTGCCTTTTGGCAAGTTCACTTCTTCACAACAGCACTTCCATCAAATAGGTTCTGAGACACAGTGAAGAGTGTGACAGGAAAACTTAAAACAATAATCCAAATCTATGAGTAATTGTATGTATTCAAAATACAGGTGGGAGAAAGGAATCTTGTCCTGATTCATCTTCAGGCACATTTTGGTATACCTATATGTAATTTAACAAGACAGTATCATAAACATTAAATACAAAACACCAAAAACATCCACATATAGAATTTCAACAAGAAATAACATAAAAAGAGAAGACAATTAACTCAAACAAACCCAAGAGAGAGTTCCTCAATTTGGTCAGAAATCTCCATGAAGCTGAAATAAATTATCACAGAAAATAATTAAAAGTAGAGTTCTTACTGATAACAGAAAAAATATAGTTGAGTTTTGTCATCACATATACATCATACTTGTATCCTTTGATCTCAAGTAACTTCGGAATTAGGTTAAATTTGTTTCATCTTCAAAAATTTTAATGTCTTATTAAATTTCTTACTACTTAATATTTTTAATATACCTGAGAAAAAAGATGAAATTTTATATTCCCAATACAATTTTTAAAATCTAATTGTTCTCATTTTCTGCTTTAAATTCCCAATTCAGCAGTCAACACTGTAGTCTCCCTTTCCCCCCAGTTAATCTCAAAATAAAAATTACTGAGCTTTGGCCGAAACCGGTTTGGTTCAGTGATAGAGCATTGGTCTGCGGACTGAAAGGTCCCAGGTTCGATTCCGGTCAAGGGCATGTACATTGGTTGTGGGCACATCCCCGGTAGGGGGTGTGCAAGATGCAGCGTCGATGTTTCTCATCGACATTTCTAGCTCTCTCTCTCCTTTCCTCCTCTCTGTAAAATATCAATAAAATATATTTTTTAAAAATTACTGAGCCTTGGCCAGGTGACTTAGTTGATTGTAGTGTCATCCTGTACAACAAAAGATGGTGGGTTTGATTTCCGGTCAGGGCACATACCTAGGTTGTGAGTTTGATCCCTGGTTGGGGTGCATACAGGAGGCAACCAATCAATGTTTCTCTCACAACATCTCTCTCTCTCTCTCTCTCTCTCTCTCTCTCTCTCTCTAAAAATCGATGAACAAAAGAAAAGACTTTTTTATAATACTGAAAGAGCCCTGGCCGGTATTGTTCAGTGGATAGAGCAAATAGCCCTTGGACCAAAGGGTTGCAGGTTCGATACCCAGTCAAGGACATGTAACTGGGTTGTAAGTTTGATCCCTGGTCCTAGTTGAGTGGCAACCATTCTATGTCTCTCTCTCACATCAATGTTTCTGTCTCTCCCCTTCCCTTCCACTCTAGAAATCAATGGAAAGAATGTCCTTAGTGAGCATTAGCAAAAACAAAAACTAAAATATTTAACATGTAATAAATCAATTCTTAAATTTCTTATCACTTATTTAGTTTTTTTCTTAGTTGACTCTTCTAAATATTTTTTTAAAGGCTGAAATTAATAATTTTGATAAATTTATTCCCTTTTCAGGTAGATTAACTTCCATATTTAACAAAAAATGTACTCCATTAAATATAATCGTTTCTTAAAAATATTAATTATAACATAAAATTTTATAGCAGGCTTATCTTATTTAGTATTGAAGATATTTTATTGCAAATGAGGGCAGTAAGCAAACCAGTGCCATTCGGTCATTACACATAATCCCTTTGGAGATGCTTTCTAAATATATACTCTGTCTGATCAGCATATATTATATAATTTAGAAGTTTATTACGTGATGACTCTATCTTCTCTGCCTTCTTCAGAATTTGTCTAAGAGTGGATTTCACTAAGCCTGGAGCATGATCAGCTCAGATCCACCTGAAGTTCACCTGCTTAAAACCTGCAAGAGCTAAACCACATTTTTAAATCATCAAAGTAACGCCTGTTTGGGTGCAAACGATTAGCTGAGAAGCAGAAGACCATAAGATAATCAGAAAACATGTCCCTGGCAGGTACTTCCACATAGTAAACCAAACAAACTTACTGAGGCAAGAGACTCTCAATCTGAGCACAGGAACACTATGACAACTGGCTCACTGGCCCAGAAAAAAAAAGACAGGGTTCACTCTACATTTTTGACAAGTAAGTTCTATAGCAAAGATTTTATATAGATAGAGCTTTACATTTAGAGAAATTAAAAAATTATCTGACCTAAGTATTTAGAAATTCCTATTTAACAATAAAGCTACTTGGCAAGGATGCTGCCATTGAGTAAAGAGTTAATTTGTAGCATTTGCATATAAAGGTATTCTTTAATTTCATATCCTTCGTTAGTCACACTTTATAACTTAAATTCTTAGTTTTGTGGTAAAGAATACAGCTCTGCTCACTTCCAGGTAGAGACAAACTTTAAAGACTACCGATTGCTTTAGAGAAAGTTCAGTTCTTACAAAGTAGCTTTAAAATAGAGTATTGCTTTCTGATTTCCCATATTCATTTTCTTTAGTTATAAAATTTCATAAAGCAGTTGGCCACTGATCTCATAGTTTCTACTCATTTGAGTTAACTCCCAAACTAAAAATCTGATAAATAATCTAGTATCAAAATATCAAATTCTCAGATATCCCCCCACAAAATGTTTTGTAAACTGTCAAGTAATATCAAGATTATCTTAAGTCTGGCCAGGTAGTTCAGTTGGTTATATCATTGTCCTGATAACCAAGGTTGTGGGTTTGATCCCAGTCAGGCCACATATAAGAATCAATCAATGTATGTATAAATAAGTGAAACAACAAATTGGTTTCCCTCTCTTCCTCTCTCCCTAAAATAAAACTTAAAAAAAACCCACTATCTTTTAAAGAATCAAATCAAAGCATTAATTAAACAAAGTTCTCTTGGATTACACAACATAAAGCAATATTTCTTTTAACAATGAACCCCCTCCATTATTAACGTTATTTGCAAATCAACATATCTTAAAACTTAAAAGTAACATACTTCCATATGGATTAGATACACAACAAGAATTTTGATATTCCTTTAGGTTCCTTAAAAGTGGATGTTAACAGTAACAAAAAGTCTATACCACTTAAGATATTTTAAATAGAAACCAGGAAGAATTTCTTAATCCAGAACTAGATGATAAAATGGCGAGGATGCTGAAGGTTAGGTCCACGTGAGCTTCAAGAACGGAAATCATCCATCTTTGAATTAGATATTTGCTGGCCTGAAGGCCAAAGTCAGACCATAGAATAGTGTAGGTCCTTCCAGTTCACATCTGGTATTTTGGCATAAAATGAAGATAGGTCACAAAACCTACAGACACTTTCAAGTTTGTTTTTAAAATAATAATTGAACCAATCAGAATAGTGTATGGCTTATCATTCTTCTGCCATTTTAAGCAATAGGAAAAAAATACATTTTTGTTTTTGTGGTGACTATTTATTGGTTAAACTTTTATTTTCTTCTTCACATTTTCGGTGACTGTTTCCCACTGGTATCATCAACCAGGTCCCTCAGGCGAGATAAATGGTGCAAAGCCCTTCATTAAAAAGTATAAAACACATTATAAACCAATATTAAGGACTGAATAGGCAACGCAGACAGCAAGAAATGGTGATTACATTGTTTATTAACTTCAAAGTTAATTAAGAAAAATGGATTTATAAAATAACAAGTATCAAACTTTGAGAATTTTTTCTTTATAAAATCTTGATAACTGAATAATTGAGGGTACAAATAATTCATCTAAAATTCTATAAAAACTTTTAAAAATTATTTTTGACATTCCAAGATTTTTTTTTGAAAGTTTTCCAAGTAAGCTTAGTAAGAAACAATAGGTTATCACATGTAACAAAACATTTTTTTCAAGTAATTTTCACAATAGTGTATATCATTTCAGAAACAATGTGGGTAGTTTATCTTTTACATGTACATTCAAGATTGCTAAAATAAAAGAACACTAAAGGATTAGTTAGTTCTGAGGAAAACTAATTTTTATTGAGCATGGAGGAAACAAATGACAATTTTGTTGAATAATGTAGTATTATACTAGCAACATGATTTTCGCTAAGATGAAGCTAAGATTACAGGTCAGGTATCAGTGGAGAAAACTCAGTTGTTTTCCTTCAAACAACCAGGAAGAGAGAGGCCTTTTAACTTTCCAATCTTCCTCTAAAAATACTATTCCAGTTTTCCCTCTCCTAACCTTCAGAAAATGTCAACCATATTAATCGACCATATTTCAGATCTCTGATAAACAAGAGATCAAGAAAAACAAATAACAACGTGTATCTCTAACGGTTAATTTCTAAGATGAGCTAAAGGTGGTTACTATAACAACCTATTCTACGGTCTTTAACACAGGCTCAACAAGTGCATATTAAATAAAATATACCTTCTACTTTACCCAGGATAAAGAGATGGAGGAAACTATTAGTGTTAATTACTGCATTATATGTATTTCAAGCCAGTGTCTCTTAGACACTTACTCAAATATAATCAACTAGAGGCCTAGTGCATGAAATTCGTGCATGGGGAGAGTCCCTTGACCTGGCTAGAGATCAGGGCTGATCAGAAGTACTTCCTTCTGGCTCCCAGCTGCTAGGTGCTGACTGGAGCCTCCCTTTGTTTTGTGCTGCACCCTGATGGTCAGCACATGTCATAGCGAGTGATCAAACTGAGTCTTCCAGTCAAACTCCCTCAGAAACAATTTGTACATTACACACACACACACACACATATATACACACACACACACATATACACACACACACACACACACATATACACACACATATACACATACTAGAGGCCTGGTGCCTCTAGTATGTGTATATGTGTATATGTGTAATTGTGTGTGAGAGGAGTCCTTTAGCCCAGCCTGCACCCTCTTCCAGTCTGGGACCTCTGGGGGATGTCCACCTGCTGGCTTAGGCCACTCCCCCCAGGGATCAGGCTTAAGCCGGCAGTCAGACGGCAGACATTCCTCTCGCAGTCTGGAGCTCTCATAATGCGAAACCCTTGCTCCTTACCGCATGCCTATAGCAGAGGCGGGAGAAGCTCCCACCACCACCACTGTGCTCACCAATTGTGAGCCCGACTTCTGGCTGAGCGGTGCTCCCCCTGAGGGAGCACACTGACAACCGGGGGGAGGAGGGGCAGGGAGGCAGCTCCTGCATTGAGTGTCTAATTCCTGATGGTCAATGCACATCATAGCAACTGGTCATTCTGCTGTTCAATCGATTTGCATATTAGGGTTTTAATATTAGATATATTAGAGGTCTGGTGCATGAATTCGTGCATGAGTGGGGTTCAGCCAGCCTGGCCAGGGGGAGGGGACTCGGACAGTTGGCAGGCCTGCCTACTGGCCAAACTCCTGGTTGAGGGGAAAATTTGCATATTTGCCTTTTATTATATGGGATAGATTCTGCTACCCTTGGCAACTTCAGTTAATTTTTGAGAGTCTCATTTGCTTTAACTAAATGACTGTAATTAAAGTTACTAAGCAATCAGAGGTAAAAATTAACTAGACCCTATCATTTCTACATCCTATAGTACATCTCTCTACCTAAAGAATTATTTTCTTCCTAGAAGCAGATATGAGAAAAAAAAGATAATTTACAAATATATTTGGGAATTATCTTCCTTTTTCTTTTCAGGTGTATTATTTTCTCTTGTGATTCAAGAGAAAGAAAAAGGCAAGTGACTAAAGTCTTATCTTACAACCCCAATGGACAAACCCCTTTAATTTAAAGGACCTATGAAAATGGATAGAGAAAAAATATCCTCATCTTTATTTTCACTAAATACCACTATAAATTAGAATTTCTTTTCACTATGCATATAAGCAACAGACCAAATCTGTGACTTCATATGCCACAAAAATTGGAGATATTTTCATGTCACATTATAATCATTATAGGAGTATCAAAATCATTTAAACTCATCATTACTTCAAAATTATAATAGTTATATGATAGTTCTAAATTTCAATAGGTATCATACCAACTGTTAGAACATATGTTACCTAAGTCTTTCTGTCTGCATCCAAATTTCATGTGACATAACTGGTCAACCACTAGACAACTTTAAGCCTAGTTGTTTATTCAGTGATCAGTGAGGAGTTATTGGTGACCCAGAAATCAATGCTTTCCAATATTTTTTTTCTCTAATTGTTTGCTGATCAACATGTGAAATAAGTAAAAAACCATGACATAATTTAATGCTTTTATTCAAGCGATGTAAAAGGCCTTCATATTAATTATGTTTTTACAAAATGAATTTTAACTTACCTGTATTTTAAATGTAATTAGCAATTTATTTTAATATTTTCATAACTGGTTCCTTTTTAGTCCTATGTATTTTTGTTTTATACCTTTAAAAAATAAACCAGTTTGGCTCAGTGGATAGAGCGTTGGCCTGCAGATTGAAAGGTCCCAGGTTCGATTCCGGACAAGGGCATGTACCTTGGTTGCGGGCACATCCCCAGTAAGGGATGTGCAAGAGGCAGCTGATCGATGTTTCTCTCTCATCTATGTTTCTAGCTCCCTCTCCCTCTCCTTTCCTCTCTGTAAAAAAAATCAATAAAAAAAAATCAATAAAATATATTTTTAAAAAAGAAAATAGGTGGATTAACACCTTTAGGGCCTTTGGATTATCTTTATATCCACATTATATCTACTTTAGTTTTCTGTGGACATAGGTCAAATAATGAATTATTTATGATTATTATATTTCTTCTAGATGGAATATATGAAAACACATGTCATGATCAAGTTTTTTTTCCAGGACATCCACACCAATACATGTTAAAATTGTTGCTATTGTTCAGAAAGAAAAGAGCATCAATTAAGGCCATTCTCATCATTATATTTTAGGTGTCTAAAGTTATCTCATTAGGTCCTAAGAATATTTTAAATAGGGAAAAATACAGGATTAAGAGAAAACTTCAAGATTAAACAATATGTAACAAGAAGTTTAAAATCCTTGTAACTACTTAATTCATCCTGTAACCTTCTGATTTCAATCTAAGAGATGGCTAAAATAGATTTGTGCCCATAAGATATTCAGAAGTTGTTAGAGAATACTTACTTTTGAAGTGACTTAGTAATAGGAACTATACCTTCCTTCGATTGTGATTTAGAGAAATCATCATCTGAAACCTATTATTAAAAAGACCAAATGTAACAAAATACTGAAAATACTATATAATTATAAACATAAATGCTATTTAATATGTGACTTAAAAAAACAGTAAAAAAACTTTATTTATGAAAAAATAATTCTAGCAAACATTTTTCAATAAAGTATTACATATATTTTCTCTTTATTGTAAAAATAATATAACTATATTTAGATTCATCTTTTAATTGTCCTAAAGTATGCTTTTAAATTATGTCCAATAAAAAAATCAAATTGTGGTTTGAAATTATGACTTTATTTATTTATTTATTTTTAAATATATTTTATTGATTAACAGAGAGAAAGGGAGAGAGAGAGCTAGAAATGTCGATGAGAGAGAAACATCGACCAGTTGCCTCTTGCACACCCCCCACCGGGGATGTGCCTGCAACCAAGGTACATGCCCTTGACCGGAATCGAACCTGGGACCCTTCAGTCCGCAGACTGACGCTCCACCACTAAGCCAAACCGGCTTCGGCTGAAATTATGACTTTATAATGAACTTGGTCTTGTCTCAATAATGTTTAAAAGGAGAAGAAAAATAAAATTACACATTTTATGTTAATGTTATGATCATTAGAATGGAAAGAGAAAAATTAAGAAATAAAACTCCAAAGAGCAGGCTGTGATAGTTCCCAAGAATTAATCTACTCATTTGTAATGAAAACTGAATTTCAGAAAGCTCTACTAATAATCTTATCAAAACAATATTAAAAACCTTTTATTACTTATTTTAATGTTTAAATAATTTAAGTATTACTATTTAGGTTTTTTGATGTTTTTATTACTAGGGCAATTATTTTATTAACTAGAGGCCTGGTGCACAGATTTGTGTACCAGTAGAGTCCCTTTGGCCTGTGGGATTGGGCTGAAATGAGCTTCCTGACATCCTCAAGGGGGTCCCAGATTATGAGGGGGCATAGGCTAGGCCGAGGGACCCACACCAGTGCATGATCAGGGCAGGAAGGAACACAGGAGGTTGGCCAGCCTGGAAGGGACCACAGCAGGGCTCCAGGGCATGTACAGCCTATCTCGCTCAGTCCCCATCAGCTGGACCCCATCAAAAGCTAACCTACTTACTGGTCAGTGCATTGTTATAGCGACTGGTGGACCAGTAGACTGTCTGTCTCTTGGTGGTCAGTGTATGTCATAGCAAGCAGTTGAGTGGCCTTAGCATATCATTAGCAAATTACGCTTAGTTTGGTTGAACTGCCGACTGGGTGACCAGATAATTAGCATATTAGGCTTTTATTATATAGAATAAGGTATTTATTAAGCTTTTATCAGGTGCCAAGCACTATAATAAGTACTTTATATAATGCCTTAATTTTTCAACAACCTCATTTTAAAAAGTACATATATTTCAGAGAGGAAGGGAGAGGGAGAGAGAGAAATATCAATGATGAGAAAGAACCACTGATCGGCTGCCTCCTGCAAGCTGCCTACTGGGAGTTGGGCAACAACTCAGGTATGTGCCCTTGACTGGAATCAAACCTGGGACCTTTCAGTCCACAGGTTGATGCTCTATCCACTGAGCCAAACCAAGTAGGGCTTAACAACCTGATTTTGCAGTAGAGAAAACAGAATTAGAATTTAATCAGACTTGGGATTATATAAATATTCTCACAAGTTATGAATAAGAATATATTCATAAACACTATATTATTGTGAAAAAATCTAACCTCTGAAGAACAGTAGCCAAAGCAGAAACAGATTTCCAAATTCATAAAAAATATTAAAAAATTCAATGTTTTCAAAATAAAACTTTACATAACTATATTCAGAAGTTAATAAACACATGGCATCAAAATTAAATTTCAGACGACAAAGGTCTGTGGAGAAGTCTAATGTTGAAACATTTTCACCCTGGCTCAGAGGGTGGTTGTGTTGATCCATACACTAAAAAGTCTTGGGTTTGATTTCCACTCAGGGCACATGTCTGAGTTTCAGGTTTGATACCAGTACCCAAGTGGGGCAGGTGCAGCAACCAATCAATATTTCTCTCTCACATTAATGTTCATCTCTCTTTTTCTCTAAAAATCAATGAAAAGGTCCTTGGGTGAGGGTTAAAAAAAAAAAAAAAAAAAAAGGTTTTCTAGATCTCCCCAATTTATAAATACAAGTTGGAGTTCACAGAATAATTTTGTAGGGAATTAAAAAACAACTTTTACAATCTATTCATACCATGTTGTGATATCATTAGATCTAAATAAGATGGTGTATTTATAACCATAAACTAAATAAAACAATCTATTCATGGATGTACAACTGCAGAAATCTAATAATATTCAATGTGAATAAGTTTATGGGAAGAAAAAAAAGAATAATCCAACTGTACAACATGTGTTATGTGACTTGCTTATTAACATGAAACTAGAGAGGTCAAACTAAAGAGGATCTAGAAAAAAATCTTATCCCTTCACAGATCCCAATTCATAAATCAAGTTTGTGCTTACTTGTTTAAGCTCTCCTTTTGGCTCCATAGTTTTATTCTGATTAAAACTTTCTTGTACGGCTTGAAGATTAAACAACATTTGTTTCAGAGCTTCAACAGGACCATGATGTTTTCCTCCAGACAAAGTATAGCTCTAAGGTTAAAACAGATGATCAATTAACCATCCAAGAGGGGGAAAAAGAAGAACAACTATAATAATCTGAACAATAAAGATTTTTTTTTTTAATTAAAAAAAAAATAAAATAAAAGATTTTTAGAACTAAAACATCCCCAAAGTGCAGGTAAGTCAACCTGCTCTTTTCAGGTGTATAAATGGAACTGATTATCAGATGAGCAAGAACTATAATTTTAAATACAGTATTCTCTACACATTTTTAAATATATTTGACACACAGAATATTGGTTTTCCATGCCCCAGGCAGGCCCTGCCACTCTACATGCCTGCCTCTAGAGTCCCCCAGTCCTTTTAGCCCCCCAGCTGCCCATGGTCAGCCCGAGGTGCCGGCAAGCCTCAGATGGTGCTGCCCAGCCACCCAGGGCTGCCCGAGGCTCAGGTAACCAGGGCCGGCCAAGGGTTGCAGATTAAGCTGCCAGCAGTGGCAGTAGAGTTGTAATGGGGCGTTGCCTTCCCCTGATTGCTGGGTCACCTCCTGCCCCTGAGGGCTCCCAGACTGTGAGAGGAGGCAGGCCGGGCTGAGGGACTGCCCTCCAGTGCATGAGTTTTAATGCACTGGGCCTCTAGTCTTTTAATTCATGCACTGGGCCTCTAGTCTTTTAATAAGTTAAAAAGATTTAACTTCACCCACCTGATCATCATCATTTAAAATGTCCTCTAAGAAACTTTTAGCATATTTTGTCCTTGAAGCTTGTTGAGGACTGTCATCAGAGTTAATAGGAACAGGAGACTTACTAGATAGGGTTTAAGAGACAAGATAGCAATTAGGTTCCCAATTTATAAAAATTATGCATTGTATAATTGAATGGTTATCACTTAAATATAAATGGTGACCAAGAAATAACTGTTATAGCCCTAACCAGTTTAGCTCAGTGGATAGAGTGTTGGCCTGTGGACTGAGGGGTCCTGGGTTTGATTCCAGTCAAGGGCATGTACCTTGGTTATGGGCACGTCCCAGTGGGGGTCGTGCAGAAGGCAGCTGATTGATGTTTCTAAACTCTCTGTCCCTCTTCCTTCCTCTCTGTAAAAAAAAATCAATAAAAATATATTTTAAAAAAGAAATAACTTATAGATATGATTCATATTGATGTTCCTTGCTAATTCTCTCATCTTCTTCCTGAATTTATACCAGAATCTAACCCTCCCTATCTCTTTGCTTCACCTTTAAAACTTCAAGAAAAAAAGGCAAAAAAAAACTTGACCAGCTGGCATAGCTAAGTGATTGAGCGTTGACCTATGAATCAGGAGATCGCACTTCCATTTCCAGCCAGGGCACATGCTAAGGTTGCAGGCTTGATCCCCAGAGTAGTACATGCAGGAGGCAACTCATCAATGATTCACTCTCATCATTGATGTTTCTCTCTCTCCCCTTCCCTCCTCTCTGAAATCAATAATAAAATATATTTAAAAAATTGAAGACATTAATCTTCAACTAAACAAATAATCCTTTAACAATAGGCTATGCTCTCAAAGCTCACTTGTTTGAAAGAAGCAATACATTTTTTCCAATTAAACACTGTTTCCCAATGATAATACACAAAACTCCCACAAATTTATAAGATTTTCTACTGGGATCGCAGTGGTACTCTCTGTCACGTTAAAGCAATAGGACAGATGTCCCACTCCAGAACTGGCATTAACATAGAAGACAGATTATAGTGAAAAAATAATCACATGTGAAATTATAATTCCTGAGTTCAAATCTCAATCCCAGTCACTATATGACTTTATGCAACTTATTTATCTATTTCTATTTCTACATTTGTAGTCCCACTTATCTCACAGAAGTATTACATAAATTAATCCCATGTACCGGGTACTTTTAAAAGATGCTCAATAAATATTACTTTTTTCTTAATTTAAGGTGTAGCAGGGAAAGGGGCATCCCTAGCAAAAGTAAGAATTTTCCCCAAACAAATTCTGTTAGTCACAGAGAATAAACTCTATCTTTCTCATATATATACATATATATGTGTGTGTGTATGTATGTGTGTATATATATATATAATATATATATATAATATATATATATAATATGGGATGTGTTTCTAACTCAAGAACTAAGATATCTTTTTATAAGATGTAAATTTCACAATTTTTCTTAATTAGCCGCACTTCGTTATTGACTCATTTGATTTGTGTAACTCAGCTTTTTATTGTTTTCAAGTCTTTCTACACCCATTCTTTATATGAACTTATACACTTACCCACCATTATCAAAAGCATTTACCTAATTATTGAAGGTGGGTGCTGGGTACATAAGTACTCATTATACTACTTTTCAACTTTGTATTTGTTTGGAATTTTACATTAAAACAAAAAATTAATTATCTGGTTGCAGGTGTACTCCATCTTTTAGTATATTATTTTGAGTACATCCAGATCAATTTTTTAAAAAAATACTTTTTTATTGATTTCAGAGAGAAAGGGAAATAGAAACATCAATGATGAGAGAGAATAATTAATTGGCTGCCTCCTGCACACCCCCCACTGGGGATGTGCCTGCAACCAAGGTACATGCCTTTGACCAGATTCCTACTGGGAATCGAGTCCAAAACCTGGGCATGTGCCCTTCACCAGAATTGAAATGGGACCCTAAAGTTCACAGGGTGACGCTCTATCCACTGAGCCAAACCAGCTAGGGCCAATTTTTAAAAAATATGTATTTTATTGATTTTTTACAGAGAGGAAGGGAGAAGGAGAGTTAGAAACATCGATGAGAGAGAAACATGGATCAGCTGCCTCCTGCACACCCCCCACTGGGGATGTGCCCGCAACCAAGGTACATGCCTTTGACCAGAATCGAACCCGGGATCCTCCAGTCCGAGGGTCGACGCTCTATCCACTGGGCCAAACTGGTTTTGGCTAGGGCCAATTTTTTTTTTTAATTACAGATAATAATTAGTCAATGTCATACTAAGTCTGGGTCTATTCCTTCATCTAACAATCCATCATTTATTTTATATATAAACACTAGAGGCCCAGTGCATGAAATTTGTGCATGGGGGTTGGGGGGTGTCCCTCAGCCCAGCCTGCACCCTCTCCAATCTGGGACCCCTCAAGGGATGTCTGACTGCCCTTTTAGGTCCAATCCTACCTGACTGCCCGTTTAGGTCCAATCCTACTTGGCAGTTGGACATCCCTCTCACAATCCAGGACTGTTGGCTCCCAACTGCTTGCCTTCCTGATTGCCCCTAACCGCTTTTGCCTACCAGCCTGATCACCCCCCAACCACTCACCTGCCAGCCTGATTGATGCCTAACTACTCCCTTTCCAGCCTAATTGATGTATAACTCCTCTCCTGGCAGCCTGATTGATGTATAACTCCTCCCCTGCCAGCCTGATTGATGTATAACTCCTCCCCTGCCAGCCCGATTGCCCCTAACTGCCTTACTCTGCAGGCCTGTTCATCCCTAACTGCCCTCTCCTGAAGGCCTGGTCACCCCTAACTGCCCCCCCTACCCCCCTGATGGCCTGATCGCCTACAACTGCTCTCCCTTGCAGAACCTGTTCCCTCCCAACTGCCTTCCCCTGCTGGCCATCTGGTGTCCACATGGAAGCAGCCATCTTTGACCACATGGGGGCAGCCATCTTGTGTGTTGGAGTGATAGTCAATTTGCATATTATGTTTTTATTAGATAGGATACCCATCACTATATGAACCCTATCTTCTTCTTCTTTTTTAAATATATTTTATTGTTTTTTTACAGAGAGGAAGGGAGAAGAACAGAGAGCTAGAAACATCAAAGAGAGAGAAACATTGACCAGCTGCCTCTTGCACACCCCCTACTGGGGATGTGTCTGCAACCAAGGTAACATGCCCTTGACTGGAATCGAACCTGGGACCCTTCAGTCCACAGGCCGACACTCTATCCACTGAGCCACACTGGTTTCAGCTGAACCAATCTTCTAAACATCAACTACTGTATACAAAATACTGGGCCAAACAACTGATAATAATAATTATATTAGCCAGAAGCTATATTATTTAACTATAAATGACATTAAAATTTTTACTCTTAAATACCTCTGATATTATTTGCTCATCCATTTGGGTTCCAACTGAAAGCAAAGTATTGCAGCTATGGTACTCTACAAATACACAGAACAACTGATAAAGAGAAATTAAGAAATATAGTCCTAGCTGGTCTGGCTCAATAGATAGGGTGCCAGCCTGCAAACTGAAGAGTTCTGGGTTCAATTCCAGTCAAGGGCACATACCCAGGTTGCGGGTTCAATCCCCAGTAGGGGGCGTGCAAGGTAACCAATTAATGATTCTCTCTCATCATTCATGTTTCTACATCTCCCTCTCTGAAATCAATAAATATATATTTCAAAAAAAGAAATAGAGATAAATTTAAAAATTAGAGCTATTAACTCATTTAAAAATATTACTGAACCAACAATCTATAATAATAAAAGCATAACACGCTAATTAGACCGGACAGCCAATGTCCTTCCAGATGAAGCTGGGGCTGTGAGGGACAAGACCCTTGCTCAAATTTCATGCATTGGCCTCTAGTTGAAAAAGAAAGTAAACAAACAAACAAAAAAAGTATTTTGAATAATCACCAAATTACAATTTATGAGATTACCATGTCCTGACTTAAGTATCTTTTATTTCTTTTCTTTTTTAAAAAAAATATATTTTATTGATATTTTATAAAGAGGAAGGGAGAGAGACAGAGAGTTAGAAACCTCGATGAGAAAGAAACATCGACCAGCTGCCTCCTGCACACTCCCCACCGGGGATGTGCCCGCAACCCAGGTACATGCCCCTGACTGGAATCGAACCCGGGACCCCTCAAACCGCAGACCGATGCTCCACCACTGAGCCAAACCGGTTTCGGCTTTTATTTCTTTTCTAATCAATTGAATCCTCACACAAAAACGCCAAAGCAAAAGAATTTGTACAAGACCTTGTATAAAGTAGAATTATACAAAGTAAACAAAACTTGTACAAGATCTCAGGTAAGAACTGACAGGGCTGGAATTTCAAACCAGTATTGTAGTCAGTGCACATATTTAAAAATAAATAAATAAAAATAAAAGACATTCAATTGAGAAGTAACCAAAAAAGGATTCATCCTATCTAATAAAAAAGTAATATACAAAATGACCATCATTCCAACTCACAAGATGGCTGCCCCCATGTGGACACAAGATGGCCACCACAAGATGGCCAATAGGGGAGGGCACTTGGGGGTGATCAAACCTGCAGGGGAGGACAGTTAGGCATGACCAGGCTGGCAGAGAAGGAAAGTTGGGGGCAACCGGGCCTGCAGGGAAGGGCACCTGGGGGCGGGGGGGACTCAGGCCTGCAGGAGAGAGCAGTTAGTGGGGACCAGGCCTGCAAGGGAGGGCAGTTTGGGGGGGACCAGGCCTGCAGGGGATGGCAGTTAGTGGTGACCAGGCCTGCAGGGGAAGGCAATTGGGAGGACCAGGCCTGCAGGGGAGAGCAGTTTGGGGGGACCTGGGCATGCAGGGGAAGACAGTTGGGGAGACCAGACCAGCAGGGAAGAGCAGTCAGGGGTGATGAGGCTGGCAGGGGAGGGCAGCTGTGTGGAACCCAGGCCTGCAGGAGAGAGCAGTTGGGGGGGACCAGGCCTATAGGGGAAGGCAGTTGGGTGCTACCAGGCTGGCAGGGAGGGCAGTTAGGGGTGACCAGGCCGGCAGGGGAGGGCAGTTAGGCATCAATCAGGCTGACAGAGGAGTGGTTAGGGGTGATCAGGCTGGGTAGGCAGAAGTGGTTAGGGACAATCAGACAGGCAGGCAGATGAGCAGTTGGGAGCCAGCAGTCCTGGATTATGAGAGGGATCCCAGATTGGAGAGGGTGCAGGCTGGGCTGAGGGATACAGCCTCCCACCCGCCCTATACGAATTCCGTGTACTGGGCCTCTAACTAATTAACTCCATCTATGGCAAAATAAAAATCTAGACAACTGAATATAATAAATATCAGAAACTAAGGCAGGATATAGGGTTACCAAGAATGCATTTTTAATAAATCTAGATATAATAATATCACTAAAAAAATATTTCCTATCTAAACTAATCCTTACTCTAAGTTCACATTCACAGTTATCTAGGTGAACACTTCTTAAATTATTCTGAGAAACTATATAATTGAAACATACAAATGAAATATACAAATAAAATATAATATACAAATTAAATATACAAATGAAAATAATCTTAGGAATTATAAAAATTTATACAACTAGATTAAAAATGAACTATCATTTAAGGAAAATAACAACTGAAAGAAAAAGTAAAATGTAAATGAAAAGAAATGGATAACTCTTAATATATGTAGAGAATATAGTAGAAAGAAAGTAATAAGACTTCCATAGCCCTCCTCTTACTACGAAATAGTTGCTTTTGGTTCTAATTCCTCATATAAACATATATCAATATTTTATAGTGCAACAAAAGGAACATGAAACAAAAACAAATGTTACATAATGTACCTGTTACATAACCCACAATCTTGTAACAAATAAAAAATATCAAAAAAGCAAAGCAACACTGAACACCATTTTCTACAGAATTACCATTGCTAGTTATATAAAAATAAATTAGATGTTCATACATTTTTCATATGGAAAACTAGTCACCTTAGATGACTTTTCCATTAATAACGTACTTACAAAGTAACAGGAACATTTTCCCACGATCTTTCTGCTTCCAGTTTATCCAATGAACAAGGACTATCATCCTGTTTCATAGACTTCGGTAACTTAGTACAATGCTCTAGATTTTTCTTGGCCTTCAGGATAAGTAATTCAATTTTGTCACCTATTTTAAAAGACTACATTAATTAAGAAAAAAGTAAATGCAAAGCATTGCAAAATCTCATAAAGCAACAAGGATTCAGATAACTTGGAATATATACAGGGTGCCCCCCAAAATGTATACACACACTTTGAATAAATGTAAAGGCCGTGTTTATTATAATACAGTTCATTTTCAAAATTGAGCTACCAGTTGTTGAGTATACATTTTTTGGAGATACCCTCTACACATCTTTAATAGCAAATTATGTCAAAATAGCAAATTATGTCAAAATGTTCCATTTCAAACAAATAAAAGTAGATATTTTCTAGTTATAAAATGCTACTTAAAATGAAAACCATAAGAGTTCAAAATACCGCATTTTCTGGCGTATAAGACGACCCACTAATTTTTACAGTTAAAACATAGGTTTAGGCCTATATTCGCTGTATAAGACTACCCCCCACTTCCGCGGCAACACGAGTTCTTTTTTTAATAGACCGCCTCTCTGACTCTGGCCAATCCAAGCAGGCTTTTTATGCATGCAAATTATACATGTTCTGTACCCGAAGCTACTCTGTGTTCTAGTAAAAAGCCTGCTAGGGCGGTGGTATAGTGCCATCCTAGATTTCCAAGTGGGGTGCTTTCTATCTGTCCTCTTTCTCTCTGCTGAGACCTGAATTCAGACCACTGAAAAAGCCCGGTTGACTTTTTTTCGTTTCAAAAGTCATCTTATACACCGGAAAATACGGTATATACTATCTGATCAATACATTAAGAATGTAGCATAAAAGCTCCTAGATATTGCCAAAACCGGTTTGGCTCAGTGGATGGAGCATCGGTCTGCGGACTGAAGGGTCCAAGGTTCAATTCCGGTCAAGGGCATGTACCTTGGTTGCGGGCACATCCCCGGTGGGAGGTGTGCAAGAGGCAGCTGGTCGATGTTTCTCTCTCATCGATGTTTCTAACTCTTTATCCCTCTCTCTTCCTCTCTGTAAAAAAAAAAAAAATCAATTAAAAAAAAAAAAAAAGCTCCTAGATATTAGGTAAGATTTACAGCATTTTTTTTTATTATTAAAAACAAAAAACAATTACCATTGAATGGCTTTTTGGATTGTCCTGGAAGTGGATTCTCACATTGACATTGGCTATGCTCAGAATCACATTTATATTCATTACCAAATTCTTGATCACTACTCAAGAAATCTGAAATATTTGAAGGTTCATAAGAATATTCAAAACAATCTAATTTATTCATAGGTCGAGAAGTTCTTTGTGCCTGATAACTATGTCTTGGGGAACACTGCTCGTTTTTAAATACTTTATAAGTACTTTGACTATTTGTGTCAGGTAGCAGCAAGTCATGATTGTGGAGCCAGACTGGATATTTGAAATCAGGTATACTAGTTATCCCTGAAACATTAAGGTCAGATTTATGGCCAGTGAGCCATCGTGGGTAATTCTTTTCAAGATCTTGTTCTGAACTGTCCTTGAAAGATGATTTCTTAAAAAAAGATGGATCAGAAATGCATTTAGTCGTCTTATTCACAAGTTTTAAGTTTTTTAGCTTATGACACTGCTTTCCATTTATATTTGTATGTACAACAGGAGTAACTAAGTAATCCTTGCTTCTGGCAATGCAGGGTTCTTGAAAATTTTGATTCTTTTCAGTGTCCGATAAACTCAGTCTTCCAATGCATTTCTTGGTTTTCTTGGTAATTTGATGACCTGGTCCAACACAAGTAAAAGGAAATGATCCATCTGCTGGAAGTCTTAACAGATCATCAGTTGTTAGGCTAATGGAATCTATGTCATTAATAGTCCGTCTTCTAGAAGATAAGGACAAGGAGCCTTCTTTGTGATAAAACTTTTCAAAAGCTGAAAAACAAAGCATACTTCTGTTTATCTTCCCATATCGCATATAAAAACACTTCAAAATATTCAACAGTAAATGAGAATTAAGAATTTAAGAAAAAAAGAATTAAAAAACCATTTTTGCCACTTTCCCATGATCTTCAATAAAATTGATTAAAAGAATAAACAGGATATGATGATGAAATAGAATGTGCTTTTTCTCCCTTACATATCCATTTAACTAATTTCTACTCTTATCTCTACAACCTCTTGATTTTTTCCATGTTCTTTAATTTACAGTTCCTTCAATTTTTTTCATCTAGACATACGCAATCCACTGACACACATTAATATTGGTCACTCAATACTGGCTGCAACACAGGATTTGGAAATGTTTGTAAATAAATTAGGTGAAAAATAATTTGTTTTCTTTACTAACTCTGCGATAGCAAATAGCTGTTCTAATTCTCTTCTGGAATAGTGCCCATATCCTTCTAAGATTTGAATGCAAACTTTTTCCCTACTATGGCTAATAAGTGCTCAGTAACTGGTTATCAACAGACTCATATTCCAAATTTGTCTCCATAAAAGCCTTATCAAGGAAAAACTCAATGTAGTGTGAATATTACTGTTCCATAGAATACAAATCAGGAAGACTAATATAATCCTTTGCAATCAATTGCATAGAAACAAATATAAACTAAGAGAGGCTGAGAATCACTTAAAGTCATTAAGCTATTAAATGAAAACTAACACCACCGAGTCAACACTTTTTTCACAATGCTATAATAAACGGCTTAAGGATTTAGGATCAGCCACCTGCTGTAATTCAGGAGCTTCCACTCCAAGATAGCAAGGGGATCTTAGCTGAAAATTCCTGAGTACCAGATAAGTAAACATCTTTTAAGAAATACAGTCAGATCTCAACATTATAAAAGTAATTTTTACCCCAAAAGAATAAAAAAAGAAACATCTGGATTTCAAATGATTTAAATCAGTAGACAAAAAGAAAACAAATAATAAAAGCATACCACGGTTTGGTTGATAAATATAGTTGGAGAATTCTGGCATATTAGCAGGACATTTATCAATGTTAATCTTTCCAGTGCTTACACCAGGATACATCTGGCTTCGATCAAAATCATCAATATAGGCCTGTAGAGCCTGAGATGCAGAACTGTACAGTTTATCCTTATACTGAACAGAGATATCAGGATTAGAGAAGTTACTACCACTGAGGCTGCAGCTTGCTAACAGAGAAGATACTGAAGATTCCCGAGAACAAACTCTGTGTTTTGTATTTGGTTTTGCCATGCCTTCCTCAAAATGGGTTATTTATGTTCATTTTTCTTAGAAACCACTGTAATACAAAAACAAAAAGTTAAGGTTTCAAAAGGAATAATTGCCATATACAGAGAAATTATTCTATATGTAAACTTTTTCATAATTTTCTTTAAAGAATAAAATACATTACCTATAAATCCTTTAAAGGCAATACACATTATAGATTTTTATTTTAGTTATTGTGAATTCCTTCATCATTTGTTTAGAAAACAATTATTAAGTACTTACTATGTGCCTGGAATTATATATATAAAGATTATCTGAGAACATGAATAAAAAATACCAAGAAAAGGGAACTCACTTTCTTTATACGTCCTAAAACAACTGATTTGCATAGTATTTTCTTATGGTAATATATTCTATGACATCACAATACTTAACATTCCTTTATACATAATACTTCTCAATTCATAAGCCTACCACCATGCACTACAGATAGTAGGTCCTCAATAAATTTTAAATGCATCAAATGATGTATTAAAAACAAGAAGGAACAGTGGAGAATGTTATAAATGCCAATATGTAACTTAAGCCAACTCCTTCACCCCAGAAAGACTTGAGAACAAAAATATCAACTACAAGTCATACCATAAAATGAATGTGCAAAATGCTCTTTTCCTAAAACATCTATCTAAATAGCCAGAACCGGTTTGGCTCAGTGGATAGAGCGTCGGCCTGCGGACTGAAAGGTCCCAGGTTCGATTCTGGTCAAGGGCATGTACCTTGGTTGTGGGCACATCCCCAGTAGGGGGTGTGCAAGAGGCAGTTGATCGATGATTCTCTCTCATCGATGTTTCTAACTCTTTATCCCTCTTTCTTCCTGTGAAAAATCAATAAAAAAAAATATAAAAACAAACAAACATCTATCTAAATAAAAGCCTAAGCAACAGGTCGACTGTTAGCTATGATGGGCACTGACCACTAGGGGGCAGACACGCCAATCAGTAGGTTAGCTTGTGGCTGGGTTCCTACAGATGTGGTCCCTACATGGCCCAATTGTGCACTGATGGGATCCTGGATTGTGAAAGGGCCTAGGCCAGGTCGAAGAACTGTACACCGGGCATCTAGTTAATAATCATTTTCTGACCTTTTTGGTACTATCCTTACTATATTTAATTCTTATATTAAGCAGATTCAGACTACCTCTCTTTTAAAGGAGACTTAATTAGAAAACTTACGTAATGTATTCATTTTACTGCTTTTGCATCATTAAAATTGGCAGAATTCCTGTTTACCTTAGTATAACAATAACAAGATTTATATTTGAAGCCCTAAGAAATAACAAAATGAGCAGGCACTACTTCAGTGCACAATGTGACATTCTTTTAAAATTAAATCAATGGATTTTCTGTACTGAAAATAAAACTTTCATGTCTTGAACTTAATATATGCTATGATATTATAAAGTTAGTATGTTTAACTTTTGGCTAAAGACAGAGTAAAACATCCTCCACCCAACCTTCAACCGTGTCACTGCCTTTGCAAGAGCTGAAAGCAGTGCATGGAAGCAGAAACAGAACATAATGCTTAACCTCTGCTTTCCCCGAATGAGGTGACGCTGGTGTAACACTAACCAATGGCCAGGCAGCTAGTCCCGGCAGCAAAGACATGGAACAACCTAAGGGTCCCTCGGTGGGTGACTGCTATGGATACAATGAAATACCGCTCAGCTGTAAGAAAGGATGGAACGTGCCATTTGCAACATGTGTGGATGGCGAGAGTATCATGCGAAGCGAAGGAAGTCAGATAGAAAGGGACAAGAACCATAGGATTTCATCACTCACATGTGGGCTATAAAACAGAAAACAACAGAAACTCAGACACAGACAACAGTAGGGATACCTGAGGGGAAGGGAATAGGAGTGGGGTAAAGGGGTCAAATATCGAATACATGGTGACCGAAGGAGACAAGACTTTAGGTGGAGAGCACACAACTCACCATGAAGACGATGTTTTTATTATGCAATTGCAGGCCTGGAACCTGTGTGCTAGTAACCAAGATGTGCAGTACCAGATGACAGGTTTTAAAAAAATATTATTTTAAAAAATATATTTTTTATTTATTTTTTACAGAGAGGAATTGAGAGGGATAGAGTTAGAAACATTGATGAGAGAGAAATATCTATCAGCTGCCTCCTGCACTCCCCCCCACCCCCTACTGGGTGCGTGCTGGCAACCAAGGTACATGCCCTTGACCTGAATCGAACCTGGGACAGGAAGCTCTATCCACTGCGCCAAACTGGTTTTGGCCAGATGACAGGTTTTTTTGCCTTTTCTTTACCCTACTTCCTAAAGATGCTACTATTTTCTCGTTAACACTGCCTGAATATTAAACAAGTTACCTGTTTTAATTTTACAAAAACAAAACCCTAAAAGGCACCGTTGATGGATTGTGGTCCTCAGTACGTGGACAATTAACTTTTAATTCTCCGGAGGCAAAAAAAAAATAAACAAAAATCGACCATAGAACTATCATTGTGGAAAGTTTCCAAAAGTGAACAAAAGTAGGGGGGATAAAAGCATTTAACAACCCCCTTTGCAGCTATCACTCTGCTTCCAAACAATTCCCGGCAGACCCACACTTCCGTTGATCTCCCACTTCTCCCCCCAGGAATATTTGGAAGCAGATCCCAAACATCTTACTCTTTCTTCCATAAACACCCGTTCGTGCATCTGCATCGATACGGAAGCCCATCATCCCGAACGGAATGTGAAACGAATGGGGGCGGGGGGGGAGGGGGAAGAAAGTCAACCACCTTTGATTTCGAAATCACAAGGTTCCGATTTAAGTAACCAATGGGACCAGCTCACCATCAATGAACAACTCTGAGGAATGACGGCTCCGGGGCGGCTCTGATGGAGCGAAGGAGAACGAGTGAGCCGGAGGCGGGAGGGCCGGCGCCCCCGCCCCGGGGCACCCCGACTCCTAACCGCCCCCCGCCCGCGTCCCGGGGGCGCCCTCCCTTGGGGCTCCCCGCCATCAGGCACGGCTGCTCCGCGACCATCCTTCAGGCGAGAGAACCAGCGCCTCGGGAGCGGACGAGGAGCACCCGAAACCCTCGGGGTGACGGCCCCCAGAGCCAGGCCCCCACCCCGCACCCCCACTCCCATCGACACCTCGACTCCCCGCGACCCACGTCGGGTACCCTCGGTCCGGATCCGCGATCCTCCCCCTAAAACGGTCCCTTTCCCGCAGGGACTCTCAGCAAGAGGCGTCTTCTTCCCCCTCCCTCCCAGCCACCCGCCCCGGAGCCTCCCCCTCGGGCTGTCAGAGGACCGGACGCCCCTCCCCCCCCCGAAACCCCGGCCCCGCTGTATCGGGCCGAACTCGCCGACAAAGGTCCAGACCACTAGAGAGAAATAAAAACGCACACTTCGTACAACTGCCCGCCGAACACCCAGGCCTGTCGCCCGGCGAGAGGCGCAACAAAGCATCCCTGTCGGCCACCGCGCCGCCCGCGCCTCAGGCTCCGCTCGCTCGCAGCATCCTCCGCCGTCACAGCGGAGCTACACGCCCGCGCGGGCTTTCAAACTGACCCAACATGGCGCCGGCTCGCGGTGCGCATGCGTGGTGCTCGGGCGCGGGGGGGGGGAGGGGGAGGGGAAAGGAACAGTCAGCCGAGGGGCGGAGGGCCGGAGGCGAACGCGGCGCCGCGGGGCGTTAAGTCGCACTGCCTGCTGGGAAGTGTAGTTTTCCCCCCTACGCATCCCTCTCGGGTGGGTGTTCTGGTTACGCACATCCACATCGCTGCGGCTCGCGCTCTCTCCCACCTCCCTCTCCGACAGCCGGCTCCCGGGCCCGAATGAGGGCACTCGGTAGCGGAGATTTGGGGTTTCGGTCTCCGACAGCCGGCTCCAGCTCCCCACTCCTTCCAAGTGCGCTGGTCCCCTCGCTTTCGGAGCCTCCCTTTCCAGGATAAGACATCATCTGGGCCACAGGCGACGTCCCAGACCGCTTCCTCCCCTCCCTCCTCAGTTCCTTCCCCCTTTCCTCCCCGAGCCCGGCCCCCCTGGGCTCCCCAGCCCCTCACACTCAAAGCAGGTGCCGGATCGGATCGGAGGAAGGAGAGCTCGAGTCCAACACACTCCTGGGAGTCCTGGATTCCCAGGAAGAACGGCAGTGACCCCGTGCGGACCGGGGACCCAGGCAGGCAGCCCGGGAAGAGGGAGATTATGCTGTACAGACAGATGTAAAGACCCACGTAACAACGTGTGTGAACTGCCCACAAGGCCGGCTCAGGAGAGGAGGTGCGAAGAACCCAGTTTCAACCAAGTGGCATATCCAAGAAGATGCCATCGCAGTGTTGGTTTGTGTTTCTTTCCCACTGACCCTGCGGGGCGAGGAGTCCCTGATCACTCCACCGGAATAGACTGCACTCAGCCCATGTCACACCGCCAGGTGGTAGATATATAACTGTTCTTGCCGCTTGCTCTCTCTTGTTTTCCTTCTCTCTAGCCCGCTGGACTTAATCTTTTATTTTTTCTTAGCAAATGAAAAAAAAAAAAATCCAGAAATGATAAAATTCATTTGAGTGGTTCAATTAAACACATGTTTATTGTGGCAGTAAGTGCTAGGTGATTTGACAATGAATTGGACAGAGTCCCTGCAGTTTACACTCTAGCCGTACGTTTCTGTAATCGGTGCAATTCCTGAATTAGTCAGTATCATGTATGCTGCTGGTTGGAAATAAATAATTTATATTTGCTGAGACAAATCCAGGTCAGGGGCCGGCCATAGACTGCTAATGGCATGAGCCTAAAAAGTTAGGCTTTTTGCCCTGGCCGGTTTGTCTCAGTGGATAGAGCCTCCGCCTGTCGACTGAAGGGTCCCGGGTCCCATTCCAGTAAAGGGCATATGCCCTGGTTGCAGGTCTCATTCCCAGTAGGGGGCCTGCAGAAGGCAGCAGATTAATGATACCCTCTCATCATTGATGTTTCTATCTCCCCCTCTCTCTTCCTCTCTGAAATAAATAAATATATATATATTTTTAAAGGGTTAGACTTTTAAAATCCACATTCCACCTAAATGTTTTTTAACTAGTCATTCTTTAAAATAATTTAACAGTCCTTTTCATTGACAATATCTTTAATGTTTCTCTTACTACCTTTTTCTCTCATCTTGGAGCATATATAATGTGCACATGTTCCTGATAAGAGCATAAAGTGTAATAAAGGACACAGAGAAGACATAAAGAAACATATCAAATAAACTGATGTAATTCGTGGATCAAAATAACTCTACTTCCACTTTGTTCCTTCACAGTTAAAGAGATATGGAGGCCGAAACCGATTTGGCTCAGTGGATAGAAAGGTCCCAGATTCAATTCCGGTCAAGGGCATGTACCTTGGTTGTGGGCACATCCCCAGTAGGGGGTGTGCAGGAGGCAGCTGACCAATGTTTCTCTCTCATTGATGTTTCTAACTCTCTATCCCTCTACCTTCCTCTCTGTAAAAAATAAATTAAAAATATTTTTTAAAAAGAGAGATATGGAGACCTCCAGAAGGATTTGGAGAAGAGTCCGAATAGTTAAAATTCTGGACTAGATCTATTATATTAGGAAAGATAAAGAAACTAAGAAACTATTAGGAAAGAGCAGTTACAGTGGTATATGAAAGCTTTTCAAGTAGAAATGTCAACTAAGTGTCATGCAAAGATGGAGAACTAAACAGGAGAAAATAGATTTATCTTCCAACCTAAAGAGCTTTAAGTGAGAGCTAAGGAGGACGTATCCTGATAATTAAACTTGAAGAAGTTTTATTGAGGCAGCTCTTTGGAGAGTTTTTAAAAAATATATATATTTTATTGATTTTTTTACAGAGAGGAAGAGAGGGATAGAGTTAGAAACATCGATGAGAGAGAATCATTGATCAGTTGCCTCTTGCACCCCCCCCCCCCCACTGGGGATGTGCCCGCAAACATGCTCTTGACCGGAATCGAACCCAGGACCTTTCAGTCTGCAGGCTGACGCTCTATCCACTGAGCCAAACCGGTTTTGGCTGGAGAGTTTTTTTTTAAAAGGTAGTTCATTTTAAGAACTACCATTTTTAAAGTAGGATGAGTCCATTTTAAGAACAGAAACTAACCTTTTTGATCACCAAGAAGGGGCTTTACACTGTTTCAATCCCTTTTACACATATTAACTCAGTCTGTACAATGACCCCATGAGACAGGTATTATTATTCCTTATCTGTATATATGAAAAAAAAGATATAGATATGAAAGTTGAAATTCAAGCTAAGTAATTTATCCGAAGTGATATAGCTGGTGTGAATGGCAAAGGCAGGATATGAATCCAGTTCTGTGCTGTCACCCTCTTCCCACCATACCAGCCAGCTCCTCTCTCTCTCTCTCTCTCTCTCTCTCTTTTACTCTCGCTCTCGCTCTTTTTCAAAAAATATATTTTAGCCGAAACCGGTTTGGCTCAGTGGATAGAGCAGCGGCCTGCGGACTGACAGGTCCCGGGTTCGATTCCGGTCAAGGGCATGTACCTTGGTTGCGGGCACATCCCCAGTAGGGGGTGTGCAAGAGGCAGCTGATCGATGATTCTCTCTCATCGATGTTTCTAACGCTCTATCACCCTCCCTTCCTCTCTGTAAGAAAAATCAATAAAATTATATATATATATGTGTATATATATATATATATATATATATATATATATATACCTTGATCAGCTGCCTCCTGCACACTTTTTACTGGGGATGTGCCCGAAACCAAGGTACATGCCCTTGACTGGAATCAAACCTGGGACCTTTGAGTCCACAGGCTGACACTCTATCCACTGAGCCAAGTCGGTTAGGTCCAGCCAGCTTCTCTCAACTGAAAACGAGATGATGGGCTGAAGGATCAATGAGACTCCAGCTCCTGAACTCATTCACAGCAGAAACAATATCTTACTCAACTGTATTTGCCACACCTACCTCGATACCTAACCCCTACTGAGTTGATTCTAACTTTATATCCTGTCTGACATTTAAACAGACACCAGGAAAGATGAGTTAGTCATCCATATTGGGGAAGAATGTTACAAGCAGAGGGAACAGCAAGTAAAAGGCCCTGAGGTAGAAAGATGCTTAGTTGCTTTTAAGGAACAGCAGCTAAGTGGGAGAGTTGAAGGCAGGAGTTGCCTTTGGAGAGAAAGCCAGGAGTCAAATCATTTAGTGCCACTCACTTTAAAAAGATGAATTTCCACCGAAACCGGTTTGGCTCAGTGGATAGAGCGTTGGTCTGTGGACTGAAAGGTCCCAGGTTCGATTCCAGTCAAGGGCATGTACCTTGGTTGCGGGCACATCCCCAGTACGGGGTGTGCAGGAGGCAGCTGATTGATGTTTCTATCTCATCGATGTTTCTCTCTATCCCTCTCTCTTCTTCTCTGTAAAAAAATCAGTAAAGTAGATTTTAAAAAAATCAAACAGATGAATTTCCAAGAACACCTGATCAACAGATTGTGGTGCTTTGCAAAAGAAAAAAAAAAGGCATGATTGATAGAAATAATAATGATTTATTGATTGACTGTTATATGCCTAGCAATGGGGAAGGACATTTAAGTGCATTATTTCAATCCTCACATTACTTCTAGAGGTTAGGTACTATCCCAGTTTTAAAACTTGAGAAAATGGGGGAAACAGAAATATCAAATAATGTGGTTCACAATTAGCCCACGGCAGAGAGAGGAGGCGAGCCAGGTCTCCAGAGCCCTGCCTTTGTGTGATGCCACATCCACATTTTCTCTCATTGCGAATAGGGAGGAGGGGACTCTTGCCTGCGGGCATTCCACAGGTAATCACGGTTCATTGCCATGTCCTGGGCGCTGTAGAACCAGTAATCAAATGTAACACAGCATTTTAAAACTTTGCGTGATCACATTCTTACCAGTCATTTCTTTTTAAACCTTTGCAGGTAGATGGACTATAAGGTACTTGCCCAACAAACTGCTCAAGAGATTTTAGGTTACAGTCAAGATACATCAGGCTGGAAAGTGGTTAAATCTTCTGTAAGAAAACAAATATCTTTCAAGTTTTTGTTTTTAAATGAGAAACGGTTGTAAAAAATATTTTTTTACAAACAAACCATTTTTGCTTTGTTTTATTTTATTTTTTTTTTCTTTTTCTTTTTCTGTACTTGGCAGCTAACTTATTTGTTAATTTTTTTCCCCTTTGAGAAAAAAATAACTGTTTCTAGCAAGGCTTCTAAAAAATTCCTTGGAAATCTGTAAGTACAATTTCCTATTTGCAATCATAGTTTTGAATTCAGTGGCATTTATGTATCTAGAGTTTAAAGTTTGCTGACCTCTCATTTATACCATATTACATACTTAAAATGAGATTTGGGGCTGAAAGGTGCTGCATAGCCACACAAACTTCTTATCAATTATTGTTGACTTATTATAAACACAGCAGGTAAATGTTTATGAGAGAGATTTCAGAAAAATCCTAAAGGAAATTTGGCCCTCTAGAAAAATAACTACAGCCCAGCTAGCATGGCTCAGTGGTTGAGCATCAACCTATGAACCAGGAGGTTGAGGTTTGATTCCTGGTCAGGACACATGCCCAGATTGTGGGCTCGATCCCGATGGGGAGATGCAGGAGGCAGCAGATCAATGGTTCTATCTCATCGTTGACCTTTCTGTCTCTCCCTCTCCCTTCCTTTCTGAAATCAATAAAACTATATATTTTTTTAAATCTACAGAAACATTATAAACAAAGTTTTTAGAAAAATGAACCTTGAAATAATTTATATTAATTATTATAATATATTTAAATAAACCTTGCTACTTCTAATTGAATATTAGTGTTTTGAATTGCTGATATGATGACCAACCTTCAAATTTTCTTTACTGTTGATTGCTAAATTAGTCTATGTTATACTATGATAACATTATATTTTCAACTTAGGCTGAATTAGCTCAATTTTGAATTTTCTTTATTTTGTTAACTATAGATATCGTGTTGAAGGAATAATTTCAGAATCAACATCTAAACTAGCTGATTTCCTCTACAAGCCTGAAATTAGAATTACATGGGATAAATCATTGAAAGAGTACACTCTGATACACAAGATTGATTCGGTAATTTGTTGTTTAATATTAAACTTTTCCTGTATTAATATATATATATATTTATATCTTAGTGATTTAAGTTTATTAAACCTGTATTAGGTAGACACTTCATATTTTATAGATTCACATTTAGTTTAAATCTTTATAAAAACCTTAAAACTTACTTCTTTATCACTCAAGAGTTTAATTGTAATTGGCTTCTTTTTGTTTTAAATGCATACCACATTCTGAATCTGGTTAGCTCTCTCGAAGATGTGTGCCTTTGGTTATGAGGGGACAAACTCCTGGATTCTCCAACATTAGGTGGAGAAAAGATTAAACATGCCTTGTTAAAGGGAAGCCAGTATATTTATATTGACCTGTGGGATCAGGCTGAAACCAGCTGTCTGACATGCCCTGAGGGGTCCCGGATGGCGAGAGGGCACAGGCCAGGTTGAGGGACCCCACCGGTGCACAATTGGGGCGGGGGAGAGATTCGGGAGGGTCCCAAGGAGTGTCCGGCCCATCTTGCTCAGTCCTGATTGGCCAGACCCCAGCAGCAAGCTAACTTACCAGTCGGAGTATCTGCCCTCTGGTGGTCAGTGCACGTCATAGCGAGCAGTTAAGTGGCCTTAGTATATCATTAGCATATTACACTTTGATTGGTTGAATGGATGACCAGACACCAATCTGGGACCCTTCAGGGGATGTCCACCTGCCAACTTAGGCCTGCTCCCTGGGGGATTGGGCCTAAGCTGGCAGTCAGACATCACTCTGGCAGGCTGGGAGCCATCCATCAGACATCTTTAGTGCTGCCGAGGAGGCAGAAGAGGTTTCCTCGATTCCTCTGCGCTCGTAGCCTTCAGCCCGGTTTGTGGCTGAGCGGATCTCCCCCTGAGAGAGTGCACTGACCAGCATGGAGGTTAGTGAGAGACAACCAAACTAACCTCCTGCATGCTCTTTATTGGGGATTAAGCCTGCAACCTTGGCATGTGCCCTGAACAGAAATTGAACTGTGATCTCCTGGTTCATGGGTCGACACTCAACCACGAAGCCACACTGGCAGCCGTTTTCATTTTGTTGATGGTTTCCTTTACTGTGCAGAAGCTTTTTAGTTTGATGTAGTCCCACTTGTTTGTTTTCGCTTTTGTTGTCTTGTACTTACTGGTATAATAATATCTAACGTTCCTTTAACACAGAAAATGCAGGTTGTTTGGGTTTTTTAAATTGCAAAGTCCTACTTTTTCCAAGTAGAGGCCAATCTTCTACAGTGAAATTCTTTGGGGAGCAGTACAAGGAATCGATGTTAACTAAGTGTTGCAATCTTTATGGTTTGATTTGTTTCAGGACACATTCATATGCCATGTTGTTACACAAAGTTTTGCCATGGGCTCCATTTCCTCCCGAGACTTTATCAACATGGTGTACTTCAAGCGCTATGATGGGAATGTGAATGTGATCAGTTGTAAGTTGAAACGTTTTTGCCCACATTTTAGAATTACTACGAGTTATTAATAATGTTTCCCTTTAGCTCACGTTTTGGAAGAAATATCTTTTCAATGTTTTATCTTTTATTTACTTGGGGAGACTAATACATACATGTATAATATAGACCGGCCTGCTGTTTTTACCCGACTCTGGAGGTGCCTTTTACATCACAGTCAATGGTTGTGGCATCTTCTGACCTTTTTGCAGCGTATAACCACAGCGCTGAGTGCAGGTAAATCCCTGTAGGCTGAATCTGCACAGCAAACATTTCAAAACTACCGTAATCTTTAGATATATCATTTTATATTTGAACTGCAAAGAATGAGCTTATCCAGTAACTGTTTTCACTAGATGGGTCTTTACATATAATGGTGCTTATATTTCTTTTAGAGGTTTTGATGTATCCTTAGCCTCCCAGTAAAACCCCAATGTGAGACAATTTCTTAACATGTATTATTCACTTGAAACATTACCAGTTCATGCCATGAAGATCACTGGGGCCAGACAACTCCAGATAGGTCATGAGGAAGGAGCTATGGCAGGACAGCAGCCTAGAGCTCTGTTTGTCTTCATAACTTAGTTTAATCTGACCACTACTCTCTGAATAGTTTTCCCTGTAAGCTACCTGGAGATAGGGACAGTTAAGTGCTTTTAATTATTATTTCCCAACAAAGTTTCTGATGTGTCCGAAAGTTCCAGAGTCCAGACTGAGTCATAGTTGTACTAATAGCACTCACACAAACTTACCTCTGGTGCAGCATACTGCTAAGGGCTGATGTTCACTCCTTTCCTATAGTTGTTATTTAGTTATCTCAGTTTTAAAATGAGGGCAGATAAAAATCTACTCACTGTCTACAATGCGAAATAGTGTCTGAGCCATAGATCTGCTGTCTTCTGTATTTTGAAAGCAGACCATTTCTATCTCATTTTTAGCGGTAAAAAAGAAGTATGAAGTCACAGTCAACAAATGGTTGTAATCAGTCATCCAGTGATCAGTACTGAATTTGCTTTAAGAAATTTCTTTGAATAAATTATCAATGAATACTGATAGTTTTCTTCTTTGCCTTTTTTTTTTTTTTTTTTTTTTTTTTTTTTGCTGTTATCCACTTTACTATGCTTTGAGCTAAATATTTTGCATCTTTATCTCACCAGTAAAGAAACTGGAATTCAGAGGAAACAAGTTAGATAGGGACAAGCTGCTGAACCAGAATTAAAACACAAGTCTTTTTAGTTTTCCAAAATCAGTGCTAACTACCAACTCAGTATTCCTCACAAAAGACCCATATCTGTTTGTGGAATAAAACAAATTTTCTTTTATATACAAGCATAATCTCCATGTTTTAAACAGGGAAAATATGTTACTATCACTTCTGGAAGTACCATTATGCCAACATAATAGGTTCTGTTAAGGTGATGAAACAAGTAATAAAAATGGAAAATTCATTCAACCACACATTTCTTAAGCTAGACCAAAGCTATTGCTTAACATTTTACTTCCTACAGAATTGATAGCTTATGTTAAAATCACATGGGAAAATCCATCTTCTCTGACAAGAGCAGGATTCAGTTACACATAATAAATATATTTTAAAAATATTTTTTGAAAGAGTACATATAATTATCATAAGCAATCATAATCAAATCACCTCCCTTCTATATTCATATACAATACAATTATACTGCATAATTCCTACAACGACTCTACTGCTTTTTTAAACATATATTTTTATTGATTTCAGAGAGGAAGGGAAGAGAGAATCATTGATTGGCTGCCTCCTGTGCGCCCCCTTACTGGGGAATTAAGCCAGCAACCTGGGCATGTGCCTTGCCTGAATCCCACTGTGACTCCTAGTTCATAGCTCGATGCTCAACCACTAAGCCACACCGGTCGGGCAAACTCTGATTTTTAATTTCACATTGAATGTAGAGAATTTGCAGAAAAGGACATTTAAACTGCCTTCCTTGACATGCCAAATAAATACATTCAATATTTTTTTTAAAAAAATGATTTAACAAAAAGTCTACAAACCCATTCTCCTACTAGCCCTTTTCTTTTGATTTCTTTTGCTTCAAATCTCAGAAAGTAATAAAATGATACTTTGAACAGTTTTTCCTGTATGTAAAAGCCAATATCATCTTTAGAAATACTAGCGTGAAAATGTTTGAGAGGACAATTGTGCTCAAACTGGTATTTTCTCAGTTTTGGCCTGTGTACACATTCATATGTACAAACATACAGCCCATGTATAAACCCAATGTCAGTGCTGATAATACCTAAGTTAAATAAAAACTGTGATATATATATATATATATATATATATATATATATATATATATATATATATAACATACTCCTTGAAATAGAATTTTTTACCTTTTTTACCTTTGTGGAAGAGGCTTCATTTTATTTCTATTTAAATCATTTAGCTATTAGTGTGGATTTTCCAGGATTTCCTCCATCTTCACATTACATCCGTGGTTATAACCATGCTTCTGGCTTTGTCTGTTCACCTCTGAACGAGTAAGTATCATTTGCATTTATTTATTATAACGGTTTTTTAGTTCAATTTATGATTTAATTAAAGGATTCCTAACCCATTAGTAGAATATGTACCAGCACATTCTATTGGGGAAAAATGGCCCCCAAATGTGATATTTAAAACAACTGTTTTATAACAGAAAATATAAGTATTTTCATATGCAGTATAATCAGAAAAGATAATTTGCTATAAAGTATGATCTGAGGTTTCTGGGACAAGTCACACATACACAAAGTTTTTCCCCTCTGGGGTTAATCTTAGCCTGATGTTTTATATTTCTCCATTAGATTCAGTTCTGTGAATAACTAAGGAATTTTTGTGAATTGAAAATAAATTCCCTAGAATTATAATAGTTACATTTATCAGCAATGAATGCTTTATCTTGAAAACCTTTTTTCTAATAGACTGCCTAAGTACTGATGCCTGCAAAATGAGACTTCTGGTAGGTTAATTCAGGTAAGAGTTGGAAATCAGAGATGAGGCCAGCCTAGAGAAAATAAAAATGGTAACATACAATACCATTCTGTAAGTTCATGTACGTTATTAACTCAGAGTATATCATTTCACAAAATCCTTAAGTTTTAATTTTTGGTAAATGATTTTATATTAAGTAAAAAAAAATATTAGCACATAAAGATAAATGTAAAAAGCTTTATATCGGTCCAATATAAACTTCAGTATAAGAAAAAAATATTTATGTGAAGGAAGTAAAAATAAAACTACATTTCAGATCTATATCCTTATGTTTTCTCTACTGAATTAGAGGACTAAAAGAAATTACAAGTATTTGCATTAATAAACAGGATAATTGGTGCAGGTGATGCTGATATATGAATGTGTGGCCAAGACTTGATTTTCCACAGCAGGAGAGAAAACAAGGGAAGGATTATTACTCCCAATCAACATGGTAGATCGGCTGCTGGCAAAGACTCTAGTTGTGAAGTTACATATTCTAAAGCGTGCTTCACAGGCAAAGTCCCCTTCTTGCACCCTGTCAACTCCCTTTCCGCTGTAAAAAAACATGAAGTTTACATTGAACCAATATAAAGTTTTTACATTTGCATTTTTACATCTGTACTTAGTAGGCAGTCTATTAAAAGCTCGGACTAGACACCCCACGCATGGTGGGAACTCTGCCCAGCATCCTGTTGGAGAAAAGATGTAATCTTATTCACAGTCTCAGAGGCAGGTACTGACAAAAAGTGATTCCTTTGTACCTTCTCTTTCTATGCAGCCCAACATTTTGGACAGCTGACATCTGTAAACAAGTCATGCAGTACACAAGACAAATTATCAATAGTAAATGCATTCTGTAGGAAATATTGGAAATATTGGAAGGCTTTCTTGAGTGTAAAGCCTTAGTAAAATCACGGAGAGAGTTAAGTCCTTACAAACTGCTAGTGCGTATTCCCAACCCAGCATTTGAAGCACCATAAAAAGAGTCTGAACTCTGCATAGAGATGGGTGTAAGAAAATGGATCCTCACATGGGTTTGGACTAGTGGTCTTCATACCCCCATAAAATTTTGTAAAACTATATTCTGCCTTGCGTATTTTAAAACTTACTAAAATTTTTATAGGATTAAAATAAGAATGCAACTTCCAGCATATTATAAATATTGACTACTTAAAAATTTGTTGTAATTCCCTTATAAATGTATTCTATAGAATATAAATTCCATAACATTATATTATCAATTAAAAAATATATACAAGCTTTAAGTCAGAAATTTTACATCATTTCTTTTCTCCTGGAACCCGTATTTTTACTTTTTTTCTCTCACATAACTTTATCCTAATAAAATATGCTTTATGCTTTGAATTCTTTTATTAATCATTCTTAGTTCTCTGCAAAAATGAGTATTTAATTTTCAAAATTAAATTTATTTTCTGTAACTATTAGTATATAAATATTAAAAATATAAATGTGTGTGGGATTAAATTATCCTATCTAATGAAGAGGGAATATGCAAATTGACTGTCATGCCATCACAAAATATGGTGGCACCCATAGCCACAAGATGGTACCACCCAGTCCCCTCAGCCCCACCGGAGTCCCCTAGTCCTTTCAACCCCACTGGCAGGGAGGGGACAGGTGGGCAGTATGGCCAGACCCACCCTCAGCTCCCCAGCCACCCAGGGCCGACCCAAGGCACGCAGACAAATCTGGGATGTTGGCTGCCCCACCGATGCCTGAGGCACAGGCAGCTATGAGTGCTGTCTTTGTGTATACTTAGACAACCATCCAAAAAGATACAGTCAAGTCCGCGTTGGTGGTATAGTGGTGAGCATAGCTGCCTTCCAAAAAGATACAGTCAAAACTATAGTGATTTTCTCTGAGGAACAGGATTAAAGGAACAATTATGAAAATTTTGTATTTAAATTTTCAAAAGCATACATTACTTTTGTAACTTAAAAAAGTCAATGTGACAAAAAGGAAAACCTGACTAAAACTGAAGACTGTAAGACACAGTTGGACTAGTTACTATTTTCATATAAAATGTCTATGAGTATGAAAATCATTGTATCTTTTCTTTTTTCTTTCTTTTCTTCTATAGCTATGTCTCCTATCATAATCACTATGGAGAGACTCCACTGTGAATTAGACAAGCCTGTAAATTCAATAGATAAATCTAAAGATTATTTATGTTTTTAATTCTTCCTTTGTTTACAGTAATCCAGCAAAATCCAAACTAGTGATGTTTGTCCAGACAGAAATGAAGGGGAAATTATCCCCATCAATAATTGAAGCAACTATGCCTTCCAACTTAGTGACCCTCATCCTCAATGCAAAAGATGGAATAAAGACATACAAAGGTCCGCCAGAACGTGGATATAATCGTAATAACCAGTCACTCCATAAGAAGAAATGAGGCTGTTTACAACGAGGCCATATAAAATCATGTGTGGCAGTTACTGCAGTTTACTTCTAAGTCAATATGCATAAGTACTGTTAAACTTTTCTAGACAGTATTCTTGTACAAATTATTGAAGGTACATTGTGGAAATAAGAACTCATAGTTGTACAAGAGAGCAGTCTTAAATATAGTCTTGAATGGCATATAAGACTGATGGTCAATAACAAGTATTTTTTGTTTTATTTTTTTAAATTATATTTTTATTGATTTCAGAGAGGAAGAGAGAGGGAGAGATAGAAACATCAATGATGAGAGAAATTGGCTGCCTCCTCCATGAACCCTATTGGGGATTGAGGCCACAACTCAGGCATGTGCCCTGACTGGGAATTGAACCATGGCCTCCTGGTTCATAGATTGATGCTCAACCACTGAGCAACACCAGCTTGGCCAATAAAAAGTGTTCTTTTTATTTTTTAAATATATCTTTTTAAATCAATTTTAGAGAGGAAGGGAGAGGGAAAGAGAGAGAGAGAAACATCAATGATGAGAATCATCGATAAGCTGCCTCCTGCACACCCCACACTGGGAATTGAGTCTGCAACCGAAGCATGCACCCCTGACCTGATTCAAACCTGGGACTCTTCAGTTCACAGGCCAACACTCTATCCACTGAGCCATACCGACTAGGGCAGCAATTGTTCTTAATGCCCTTTTATCTTTTGTCCCTCCACCCCCCCTGGAAAATGTTCTCCAAAAAAGTCAATAAGAAAACACATGAGATCATCATTAATTAAAAATTAAAATATATTTTAAATTGGTTTTCCTTCACTTACTGCTTAAAGTTGATAATTGTAAAAAAAAACAAAAACTCAAACATGCACATAAAATTGGAAAGAATTACACTGGAATTATGACCAATGATATCTAGCATTTAAAACTGAATGAGTCATGAATCAAGTTCTGGTTCTAGCCAAGATGGAGCAGCCCATCCTCCCAAGTCCCTTTTCTCTTACAAGTAAAAGACCCTGCGCATAACGACAAACAGGCATAGGAGACGAGCAGAGGTGGAAAAAGGACAAACTTCCTAGGGACTTTTGGGACTTGAGAAATGGCATAGCAGTGGGTTCCCTGGGTTTCCTTGTTGCCTCCCATATACTCCGGACAAGGCACTAGCTACAGGAGGCTCCAGCCTGGAACCACCAATATAAGGAACAACAACAGTTTCTAGAAAAAGCCTGTTCTTCCTCGTCATAGGAGTGGCTATCAGTGAGGGTGGCCTACCAGAAAAAAGTCTTCTTGTCGACACCTACCCATCACCAGCCAGACAGAAAGCTAAGAATTGCACCCGCCTCACCCTACAGTGTCAGCGGGGCCAAGCGGAGCAGTGATCTTCCACCCCACCTTGTTCATGGTCCACAGAGCCAGTCTTCCCTCAGCCCTGCCGGAAGCAGGCAGCACTGAACACCTTCCAGATGGTGCAGACTGGCCAAGCAGGGAGCTATTTTCCACCTCCCACCCCCGGAAGCAGGGAGCAAGGCTTTGTGTCCCTGCCGGGGGTAGTGTCGGGACTCCCCTGGCAAAGTGAGCTTCACCTCACCCAGGAGCGGCCAAACAGCCAGCTAGTGCACAGAAGGGCTAGTCACATCTGGCCTCGCTGCCCTCCCACCATCCCGGGTCATCCAGGCCCGCCAAGATGCTAGCCTCCACCCCACCAGCACCAGTGTTCTCCTCTGTAGTATGTTGAATGCTGGCCCCCCAAAAGCCAGGTCTTTGTCAAATCCCTGGAGCCCTTATTTAAGAAAAGGGCCGAAACCGGTTTGGCTCAGCCTGCGGACTGAAAGGTCCCGGGTTCAATTCCGGTCAAGGGCATGTACCTTGGTTGCGGGCACATTCCCGGTGGGGGATGTGCAGGAGGCAGCTGATCGATGTCTCTCTTTCATCAATGTTTCTAACTCTCTATCCCTCTCTCTTCCTCTCTGTAAAAAATCAATAAAATATATATAAGAAAAAAAAAGAAATTCCTTAAAAAACAAACAAACAAAAAAACAAGAAAAGGAACTTTGCAGATGTAAAGTTTTAAGGATCTCGAAGTAAAATAATTCTTGATTACCTGGATGGACCCTAAATCTAATCACAAGTGTCCTTACAAGAGACGCGCAGTGGCGAGGCGGTGAAGAGGGAAGGCCACGTGAGGACAGAGGCCGAGAGCGGAGCTCTACGGCCACAAACCAAGGAACACCTAGTACCTAGTGTGGTAATTACAGTAGTTACAGGAAACGAAGACGCCCCTTTGGTGTCTGGTCAGGGCTCGGTGGGCATTGGGTCTCCACTCCCACCTGGCATCAAGTTAAAACAAGGAAGTCGGAGATGGGATAGCACACCTGCCTCCTCCCTCCGCCACCCAGGTGTCACTTCAATCTAGGATTCTGTGATCTCCGTCAGGTGCCAAAGCAGCTCTTCTTGATCCAGAGACCTAGAAATAAAGTTACCTGCCCTTCTGCCTGTACACACACACACACACACACACACACACACACTCACACACACACTATAATAATAAAAGGATAATATGGTAATTAACCGGACAGCCGAACAACCTCTGGGCATCCTTCAGGACAAAGCCAGCAGGGCCAGCTGCTGTGGTGGCAGTGGGGGCCAAGGCAGCTGGGGCTGCGAGTAGGACCCTTTGGCCTTCATGAGCCCACCGCCCCACCCCTGCTCCAGCCAACCTTGAGTGTGGTTCCCGGGTCCCACAGCACAGCCCCTGCCTCTGCTGACCCTGCCCCTTCCAGACGAAGCCAGGGCTGCGAGGCCCCTGCATGAGTTTCGTGCATTGGGCCTCTAGTACAATTCTAAAAAAGGGACAGGATAACCACAGTAAACATACCCATGGGGAAGGGGGAAGAATGTAGTCACTGGTTCATAACAATTCTGATATCCCTCTGGGCCTCATGCTGGCAATGGGGAAATGTTCCCAGGCTAGACCCTGATCCTGCTCTCTGGGACCTGCTCCCTGACTCATTGTGCTCCAGTGAGAACAATGGTGTCGCTGTCTGAGATGTCCTCCTTTTCCATCCTCTTCCTCTATTCTTTCTGAAGAAATATTCCTTGTTTGTAGCTGATTAACTTTTTTAGGCTGCTTCCTGCACAAAACCAGTCAAGGGACAACAGGCATATTTATTTTTTATTATTTAAAAAAAAATATATTTCTTTATTCATTTCAGAGAGGGAGGAGAGAAACATCAATGAGAGAGAATCATTGATGGGCTGCCTCCTCCATGCCCCCCACACTGGGGATTGATTAAGCCTGCAACCCACGCATGTGCCCTTGGCAGGAATTGAACCTAGGACTCTTCAGTCCGCAGGCCGACGCTCTATCCACTGAGCCAAGCTGGCTAGGGCCCAAGAGGCATTTTTATAGCTTCATCCATCTTTTAGGCAAGTTGGTGTTTTTGCTAGTACCCCGTTTTTTCACACATTTTTTCTATATCTGGTTATGATACATTATATACCCCAAAGCCACACCTAGAAGTGGAATCAACATATTCTTTTCTAGATTTTCTTACTGCCACTTTTGGATCAGGCTTTTGTGGGACCAAACCCTTGGACTTTTGTCCACTTGAAAAATCTACTTAACTCTCTCAGAAGTCTTAACAAAATGTCCGATAGTCACAATCTTGAAGTTGGACATGTGCTCATGTCTTACTTTGAGACTTTGCTATCTGTGTGGCTAGAATAAAGACAACAGTTTTGTTTTCCAAAACTGTATATAGCTCTGGCTCTATATATCACCTTTAATTTCTGCGTGCAACCTAAGTATAATAGGTATTTCCACCCCCCAAAGCTCAACTATTTTAATACTTCAGGCTATACAGATAAAGCCCACCAGGTGGCGCTTTCTACATTCTACCTGGAGATACCCTTGATTAAAGGCAAAGTTCATTAGGTATAATTTGTTTTCCAAAGTACTCAGACAGCTGTTTTAGCAAATGTTTCACAAAACAGCTTCTTAATAATTCCAAAAATTAACCACACATTTTTTTCTCGACTCAAAAAGAATATATTTCATCATAAAGTTGTCAAGCATTTCTCTCTCTCTCTCTCTCTCTCTCTCTCTCTCTCTCTCTATATATATATATATATATATATACACACACTTATTTCTCACCTGAGGATATTTTCCCATTGATTTTTAGAGAGAGTGCAAAAGACAGAAACATCAATGTGAAACACACTGATTGATTGCCTCCTGCATGCACACCTACTCGTTACTATTGTTTTCTACATAAGATATCTTAATCATTGATTAATGAACATTTTCCTTTGAAATATAACTAAAATTTGTACTTTGAAGAAATTGTCAGAGAAAACCTATGAGATTTTGTTTTGTTGAACCTCTATTTGAAAGCAAATACCCAGATGCTAATAATAAATCTGAGTTAATGCCTTATTTTAATGTCTGGAATCAATACTGACTATATATAATGGTAATCTACATATTCACATAATTCCATACAAAATTTCAGTGATGTCACAAATGATCCTTAACAATTTATCATTCAGCTACCCAAAGGCACATAACTGAACTTGGCTGAATACCAAGATTAAAGCTAAGCCTTGGGGTTATCCCTACTTAAATACTCAGATATTGCAAGTGTGCGCCTCCCGCTTCTTTTTACTGTTAGGGTGTTACACCAAAGAACTTGTTTATAATGAACTAATAGAATACAATAGTCTGGCTACATCTAAAGATGGAATATTCTACTATTAATATCTCAACATTTTCTATCAGTATATCTGTATACTGATATATCCACATTAGTTTACATAAATCAACTGTAGGCTGAATTTTATTACAGTACAATTTTGTAATGTGGGACAAAAATAAATTGCTACTATGACTCAAATATACTGTAGTAACCACTTTTTAAGAATTCAGTAGTATGTTTATAAAATTATTTTTTTATTGATTTCAGAGAGGAAGGGAGTGGGGGGAAGAGAAACATCAATGATGAGAGAGGATCATCGATTGGCTGCCTCCTGCATGCCCCACACTGGGATTCCAACCTACAACCTGGGCATGTGCCCTGACCGGGACTTGAACTATAACTTCCTGGTTCATAGATTGATGCTCAACCACTGGGCCATGCTGGCCAGGTTATATGTATTTTATATATATGTGTATATGCAAACATACATACACATATAGCTGAAACGTTCTGTGTATCCAGAATCCTGCTCACTCCATTCTACCTTGCTTCTAATGGAGATGATGGAAATCAAACACAGGCAGCCTTGGTTGACTGCACCGTCTTCTGGTTGCAAATTAGGTTTCACCCATTGGCCGAAGTCTGGTGCGAGTTGTGGAGCAAGGCCACTTTTCTTATTTGTCATCGTTGTTTCTGCTGGCTATTGAGGACAAGGAAGAGTGAGGCTCTCCCCTGCCCCCACCCCATGTTCCAGTGTCCACCTGCCAAAAGGCGACTGCATGGACGAGAGGGGGCAGCAGCTTCTTCCTCCTGCCGTCATGGTGATGGGTGACTGCTCTCCAGCTCCTAGATGTGAGAAGCAGTGGCAGTGGTGACAGCGTATGGGCTCCAGCTTCTTGCATTCTTAGTTCCACTGATGGTTTCTAGACACAGCTCACCCGATGGACTGGTTCTGTCTAGTCCTCAGATTTGTTTCTGGACTCCCAGGCTAGAACCCACACCTTCAGCTCCCCCATGATTTTGTAAGCATTTAATTCACTATACAAATTTCTCCTTGCTTAACATATCCATACAAGTTCCAAAACAACATTTGAAAGTTTATAGTTTTTTCAAAGGATCTATTTAAAAAATACTTTATTATTAATAATACCTTAAACTTTGGCGTATCTTTTATGTAATAAATACAACTTAGGAAAGAAAGGAAGGATATCCCAAGTATCACCTAATTATGAGAGCTTCACCTATATATATCAAAAGCGGAACTTTGTGAACTAAAAGTGAGACATCATTATTTACACGGATCAATTTTATAGGAGAATAAGGTTATGTAGAGAGATTATAGGAAAAAAATAGTGCAGATAATACTGTGAGGCAACAGGATGAAAGTGAATTCCATACAACTCAATAATTTATTTACAAGTGGTAGCAGCATGCAAAAGCGAGGAATGTAATAAATAAGAAAATAAAATAAATCTACGTTTGCAGACAGCAGACACAACCTTGGACTCCCACAAGGTAAAGATAACACTGACCAGGAACCTTACGGAACTATTCTCTCAGCAAAAGGATGAACTAGAAAAAATAACCCAATGACAAGATAAAAGACAGAATTAATGGGGGAGGGAAAGGGATAGGAGTATCCCTGGTGTATTTTATGACCATAGTCTGCCATTTTTAAATGTTATGCATGTTAAATTAATAAAGATAATACAAAGTACTTAGAATGTTTAAATTTCAAATCAGTAGAGGTAAAACATATTAAGTAGAAAAATCAGCCAATCCAAAAAGACAGGAAAGGAATAAGGATGGGAAAGAAGCATAGCACAGAACAAGGGGAAAATAGGCAGTAAAAAGTAAGATGGAAAAATAAATCCATATATATTTGTACTTCTGCACTATGGTGGAACAGACATGCTTCATACCAAACAGACTCTGTAATTCATTGTTTGGTTTTACTGTATAAGAGAAAAGCTCTCTCTCTTTGCCCTCACACAGAAAAAAAAAAAAAAAAAAAGCTGAAACAAAAGCAGGAAAGGAGCAGGAAGCATCAGGCAAAAAACTTGGATGGTAGAGAGTTTACCCTAAAAGCAAATGGCCTGCAGATGACCTCTGGAGACAAAACCTTAAGACAGCAGCAAGGTCAGGTGGCTCAAAGGAAGAGAACTGCATTCAGTCAGAACCTAGAAGGGATTAAAGTGGTGCCAGTGGATTGGCACTGCCTCGCTGGAAGCAAATGCAAACCATCTCTGAAGGGAAGCACCCACAAGGTAGGTCCTTGGTCTGCTCACAGTTTAGGTTGACTCACATACACCCTTAAGGAAATAAGCAAAAAATGGTACACATCAATATCAGAAAGTTGAAACTTATAAAAATTTAAAATAGAATTGAAATAATCAGAAATAGAATATAAAATATTTGAGGTTTGTTTTTTTTCTAAGACTGTAATGAATAAATAGGTAGAAAGAGTCAAATGAAAAATATACTAAAATTAAAACCATTCTTAGTGTTTTAAACAGGTTAGACACCACTGAAAAACAAATCAGTGAACATAAGGAAGAACTGATGAAATTGGCCAAAATGTAGCAGATAAACAAGATAATGGAAAGAAGCAGAGACTAAAGGACATGAAAGGTAGAGTAAAAAGTCCATCATTGTGCAATCAGGAGTCCCAGTATAGTAAAGCTATCTTTGAAGGGCTAATGGCTAAGAGTTTTAGAAAACATGAAAGATATAGGATATCAGCATATATCAAGGATAAATAAAAATAAATTCACACTTCAAAATATTATAAACTAGAGGCCTGGTGCACAAAATTCCTGCATGGGTAGGGTCTCTAGGACTGGCTAACCAAAAGGGCTGATCAGGGTCTTCCAGCTGCCAGCGGGGTCTTCCTTCATCCCACGCTACCCCCTAGTGGTCAGCGCACCTCATAGAGAGCAATCTGTCTCCTGGTTAAACTCCCATGGGGCTCATTTGCATATTAGGCTTTTATAGAGAGAGAGAATCTAACACTAATGATAGTTTTATTAAAAGCTGACAAAGAAAAGATAACTTAAAAAAATCAGATGCTGGTTTCTGTCTGAAATGATTACACAGAGTAGAACTTTTTAAAAAAACAGATTATCTAAAAAAGTGATAAAATCTTTTTATAAATTTAACTACCTTATCAGAAAACTACATGTAGAGGAAGGTTAGGGAAATGTGGGGGAGATAAGAGATCAACCGAAGGACTTGTATGCGTGCATATAAGCATAACCAATAGATACAAAATCTGGGGGGTAAGGGTTTGTGTGGGAGTGGAGGGAGGCAATGCTAAGATATGTACACATATAATACCTTGATAATGAAATAAAATAAAATAAAATAAATGGGTGTAAGCAAAATGAAAAAACAAAAAACAAAAACAAAAAAACAACCAATAATAAAATAACCAAACTATACCGGTATATAGAAACTCTTAAGGTTATTTGTATGGTGAATAAGTTCTGACATTCTTGCTACAAGTTATTGCTTTTGATAATCCCAAACTCCCTGTTAAAAATATTTGATGATTAGCAAATTTTCAAATTTCAAGGAATCTGAAACTTAGTTCAAACTTACCTACAAAATATTTTTAAGCTACCCTTTACTCACATTTTTGTACTTTATTTTTATCACCTTTTCTTTATATTTTTGAAGGTTATAATTTGAAGGTTATAAATAGACTAAAGGACATGAAAGGTAGAGTAAAAAGTCCATCATTGTGCAATCAGGAGTCCTCCAACAGTGCTTTGGTGTATTCTAGAAACATTCTTTCTTACAAATTAAAGGTGACCACAATCTTTTATCTAATTTTTAAGCTGGCAGTAAAAGGTGAAGGCAATAAAAATGGGAGAAAGAGGACATCCATCACTTTAGTAACTGTATATTCATTGACATTCTTATTCTCATCTACAAAATGTAGAGATGCAAAAACATAACCACTGCTTTTAGACCCTACACTGGCCAGAGGAAATGGGCCTCTTCTACTACCTTGCATCCTTATACATCCAGTCTGCCTTGTACTTCCAGTTTCTGTCCTTTTCATCTAGTTCTCTACATGCATAGACACTGGCCTGCCCAACTCCCCACCCTTTATTCAATAGTCATTTAATGTCCTCTGTGTGTCAGACATTGTGGTAGGTGTATTATGAAGTATTAATTGAATATGCATCACTTTCCTATTTAAAAAAATTAGCTTAATAAATGGTACATAGTAGTTTAAAGATATCTACATTTTTAACAGGCGAGGTGGCAGAATATTTTGGTTAATTTTTAAAAAAATATATTTTTATTCATTTCAGAAAGGAAGGGAGGAGAAATAGAAACATCAATGATGAGCGAGAATCATTAATTTGCTGCCTCCTGCATACCCCCTATTGGGAATTGAGCTGGCAACATGGGCCTGTGCCCTGACTGGGAATCAATCATGATCTCCTGGTTCATAGGTTGATGCTCAAACACTAGCCAGGCTTGGCTGTTTCTTAGTGGGCTAAATTTCGTGAAATATTCCATATTTCACAGAAAAAAAAACCCCCACTATTTGATATGGCATAGCAATGATCTGACCAGTCTACTTTTTTTTTTATACGCAGGCATATACAGTATATCTTTCCCCTCATTTTATGGGAAATTAACTAATGCTAAGATATATTTTTATTGAAAAGCAATATAAAATAGTTTAAGAAATAGGAGGAAGGTAATGTTTTACATTGCTTCTTCTATTATGAATTTTTTATATTTTGTGTCAGAATTTACTTCCCATAACTCTTCTTGCTTTAGAACATTTTATATTGGATTGTGACATTAAATATCGATTGGTGTTTAATTTAGATAAGCTTAATAAACTGCTGATCTGAGAACAACGGTCTTTCCCTTATTTTTTATACCTTTTTTGCTGAACATGCTTATTTACGTACATTGTGGAAATCTGATCCTGCTCTTCTCTTCCAATCAGCCAACAGTTCTTTTTGTACCTCTTCTGGAAGTTCATAGAAAACTTTAGGATCAACATCCGAAGGAAAAGTAATTTTCTCAGCAGTAGAATCTTGCTCTCCATTTTCTGCAAGTACTTCGTGATGAGATGCTGCTGCGGTCAGTTGCTTATGGCTATCTGTAGTGTGATTTTTGGAGAAAAGTTGTTCACTCTGCAAATTTGGGAATGAATGAAAAACAGATACAGTGGGGTTTGTATTTGAAAAGTGGAATCCTTGAGATTTTTTAGGTGCTGGACTCATTCGTTCATCTTTTAAACTGCGGTCTAAAGAATGTGAGTAATCCTTTTGGCTGGACAGGTAAGAGGAACTGTTATTTAAGCCTGAGGTTCCTGGTTCACAGGGAGATGATGAGGATATCTGTTTGCTATTAGATAAATTATCTCTAGGATTTAAGGGACAATCTTGCATTTGCTTTGTAGAAAAGAAAGATAATATTCCTTTAGAGGCTTGTAATGGACAACTCAAACTTCCTTTTCCTTGAACTTTTTCTCTAGATTTTCCAGACAGGATTTCTTCTTGAATATCTACTGGAAGCTGTTTAAAGATTTCTTGGTCAATACCCTCAGGAGGTGTCTTCTTTTGATCTTTAGAAAAATTTGTAGTATTTAGTGGAGATTTCAGAGTTCTTGGACTTTCAATTCTTCCAGTTGGTAGAAAATCCCAATTTGTTTTTTTGTCTTTGGAAAAATCCTCCATATGAGTATCTTTCATTTTCTGGAACACAAGGATAACACAATAATTTAGATATCTAATATCTTTAAATATTCATGCTGTTAATGTACCGTATTATCGGACCAATGTGTTTCTATCCTACTCTGTAACTTCAACTCTTTGGGTCAGCTCCCACCAACTAGAGATGACTAATCCACCGCAATTAGTCACGCTATTGTGTGCATCTTTACTCACTCTTCCAGGGAGAGGTTTATTTCATAGATAGCACTGAGCCACCTGGAAAGAATCTTAACAATTGTGGATTCAAACTTCCAATTCTGTGAATAAAAGAATGATGGCCTAAAAAAATAAGTGATTCTCCAAGGGATAGTTAAACATTTAAGTATATATGAATAAATATGTATTTATAAATATTTATATATATGCATAGAGCATCAAGGACTAGTTTTCTAAAAATCCCTATTCTAAACTGTAACATTTAATGGAAAGAAAAAAATATATATATTTCCATGGTGACAATCCAACATCATTAAGATATAACACTTTTCAAAAAATTAAATTTATTGAGGTGACATTGGTTAATAGGATTATATAGGTTTCAAGTGTACAATTCTACAATACATGATTTGTAAATTGTATTGTGTACCCACCACCCAAAGTCACATCTTCTTCCTTCACCATATATTTGATCCCCTTAACCCTTTACTTGCCCTTTTATATATTCATGAAATAAAAATTTAAAAACACCAATTCTAATTTGCATTTTTACATAAAATTTTTTACTTAAAATTTTAAGCATCATAAAAATGTATACACAGTCAAATATAATTCAGGAAACAGCAACAAAATAACTTCAAAATAAAAGAAGAAGAGATTTGGGCCATTGCCAGACACACACAAGGTGCTTTCACTTATATTTGCCTCTCTAATACCACTGTACATTAATACTCATTTTATAGATTACAAAGCAAAAAGTCAACACCTTTTAAAATTTCAGTTAAGAGATGAAAAAAAATTGGTCGGAGAAAAATAGTAATTTGAAGAGGGCACTAATTCATATATCTGTAACACTATTCTATTCTCATTTTAAACTTATATGTAAATAAAATATTACTAAAATTATACTGACTGATTAACAAATAAAGAAAAGAATAAAAACACTTTAAATTAAGAGTTAATTGCAGATGCCCTAACGGATTTGGCTCAGTGGATAGAGTGTCAGCCTACAGGTTCTATTCCGGTCAGGGGCATGTACCTTGGTTGCAGGCACATCCCCAGTAGGAGGTGTGCAGAAGACAGCTGGTTGATGTTTCTCTCTTATCGATGTTTCTAACTCTCTTTCCCTTTCTCTCTGTAAAAAAAAATCAATAAAAGATATTTAAAAAAAAAAGAGTTAATTGCAGACATGGACAATTTAGTAAAAGACTATTATTTTTTTTAAAAGAAGCCCACATTTAGTAAATAAAGGTTTGCTAAAGGGTCATACACAGGGCTTTGTTTTAGTCATCTGAAAATATGACTGGTTTTTGCCTTTCTACTGCCAACCTCTTATTTCTAAATTATAAAATTAGCAGTCATATTCTATCAATATTGCTATCAAAATTCAATTTAATGTCAAAACCAAGAAAATTTAAATACTTTAACAAAACACTGAGGGGGTACTGGTAGCTTATATATAAATTAACATACAATATAATTAGATTTCTAGTATCTAAAAATATTTCCATATGTATGAGCTAATCATCATATTCCTGTATACGGTTATGAAATGTTTTAATACTTTCAAAACAGAGAATCTCTATAATGGTTTCTTTTTTTACCCAGTGATGCTTATATTTTCTTCTTAATCACATACAATATACTTATGAGTAGCAACTGTAATAGGATAGGTATTTTATATATATGTAAGTCACTTAAAAAAAATTAACTCCAAGGAAACTCTAAATTATATCCGTTAAACACAAACTGAGATCTATAATTTAATCATACAAATCCAGTGAGAGTGTACTTACAAAACTGTGCTTGCCAGAGCATGAAGTTGTTGATGATGATGGTGTTAAATAATAATCAATAGTCCCTTTCTTAGTAGTAGTTAGTGATTTAAGGTTGCAGAAGCACACACTTAAAAGGGTAAGATGAAATGGCATCTTCACATTCACCATGCTTCGGAAAAGTTTCATAAGTATGTCAACCATTGGGGTCATCGCATCATAACTTCCTAAATAAAATGTTTAAGTAAACAGTATCTAAACACATTATAAAATGACTAGAGGCCAGTGCATGAATCACAGTCTGGGAGCCCACTTGCCTAAGCCGTTAGTCGGACATCCTTAGTGCTGCCGCGGAGGCGGAGAGGCTCCCGCCACCATTGGTGCTGCCATGAGCCACAGGGGGAGCGCAGTGACCACCGGGGGGAACCTCTGCATTGAGTATCTGCCCCCTGGTGGTCAGTGCGCATCACAGTGATCAGTCGTTCCACCATTTGTTCTATTTGCATATTAGCCTTTTATTATATTATACAGTATTAACATTAAGAGTTTAATATAATTTAAATTTAAATCATAGATAGGTATTATTGACATTTTGACAGTATATATGGAAACTAGAACATCTCAACATTACTACCAAATGCCAAATGAGTAAAAGTTTTCAAAAAGAGTTGAAATATGGAATATCTGGTTAAGGTAGTAGTGATGTCAGGAAATATCCCCCTGTGTATATGCTCTCACATTGATGTTTCTCTCTTCTCCCTTCATATCCCTCAGAAATCAATAAACTATTCTTTAAAACACCTAAAGCAAGCAGAAAGAAGAAAACAACGAAGTTGAAATAAATAATATAGAAAAAATAAAAACAGAAAAAAAATGACAACAGAAGTTGGATTTTAAAAAAGATAAAAATTGACAAACCTTTGCTAGAATTACAAAGGGAAAAAGAGAATACACAAATTACCAAAATCAGGAATGAAAGAGGAACCTCACTACAGACTTCACAAAAATTAGAAGAATTATAAGGGAATATTAACTTCATGACAACAAATTAGATAACTAGGATGAAATGCATATATTTATAAATGATACAAATTACTAAAACAGACTCAAAATAAATAACAAATTTGGATAAACAGTTAACAAATCAAATTTCTACTTTAAGATCTTTCTACAAACAAAAGCCCAGGACCATAAACATCAAAAACAATTTAGAAAAAATTTGAAGCCTGAGAACTTACAATACCTAATTTCAAGAAAGTATCAAGATAGGGTAGAACTGGTAAAGGATAAACATATAGATCAATGGAATAAGAACGTCAAGAAATACATTTCTACAAAAATGTTTAGTTTTTTACAAAGGTGTAACGACAGTTCAATGAGGAAAGAGTAGTCTTTTCAACAAATTCTGCTGGAACAAGTAGATACCTACACGCAAAAGAATGAACTAAGACCCTTACCTTATACCACACATAAAAATTACTAAAAGTGGATCTAAATTTAAAGCTCAAAACTTTAAAATTTCTAAAAGAAAACATAGAAATATCTATGATCTTTGATTTAGGCAAATAACTTTTAGATATAACACTAAAAGCACTATTCAAAAAGAAAATACAATGAAATGCTACTACATAGCCTCAAGAATGACTATCATAAAATAAACTGGTAATACTAAATGTCAGTGAGAATGTGAAAAAACTGGAATGCTCATACACTGTTGATGAGAATGTAAACTGTTATACCCACTTTGGAAAAAATTTAGCAGTGTCTTAGAGTTTAACTCACCATAAAACCCGGCAGGTTAAACCAAGTATATACCCACCCAATGACTTGCCAGCATCATTTTTTTTTTTTTTTTCCAGCATCATTTTTTATAACAGCCAAAAAAGTTGGAAACAATCTAAGTGCTCAAAAAGAAGTTATCTCATGACATATAATTACAGTTTCTTCTGAACTTGGGAACCATTCTTAACTCTTTACTTTTATAATCTATTAAACAACTAAGTTTTCTAAGTGAAAATTTCTGATAAAGAGTTTTAATAGCTCACTAACCCCCTGTGAAAATCCTCTATCTTTGAATCATATTTCCAATTCACAATTTGCTCTTTTAAGAGCCCAATTAAATTAAATTAAATTATTAGGAAATTAGCTCATACCTGTCCTTAACTTCTGAATTAAGTGGGATGGAATAGAGCACTGACGACTCTCACGGCTACAGTACTTCTCAGATGAATACCGACGGATTGTTAATCTTATTGTATGTGGCTTCCTTCCATCTTGGCATACTCTAAAAATAAAGGGAAAATAGCAATTTGAAAAATATTACCTAAAGATTTTTAAAAATTGTCAAATTAATTTATATAAAATGACAAATTTAGTAACTAAAACAATTATAAATACAGTTGATAAGTAGGCAATAAGCAATAAAGATCCTGGACTAGCCCAAATAAATTATGAAAAGTCTATACACTAACATTCTGAAATTTTAAGTGTAAGGCTCTCGGGCCTCACTCAGAATTGAGTGCTATCAGAAAAAGAACAGAAATAAGATAAAATTATAACAAGCAATTTTATAATCCAAGTCCAAATTATAACTAAAAGCAAAATATTAAAATCAATAGGAAATTAAAGACACAGAGAATCATTCACTGACAAAAACCAATATATGAAAAGTGACAGATTTTTACACATATTTTAAAAAAACAGGATCACAAAAAGAAAATAAAAATTAATGAGATTACTTTGTCAAAAAGCACTTCCCAAATAGACCTAAGAGAGCCAATAATAATGTCAGCATTATATTCCATATTAAGCAATAACTTGAAATATCAATTATTTATTATATTTAGGAAGTACATATACATGTATCCTAAAGAGTGTCCCATCCAGCCCTGGACAGGTAGCTCAATTGGTTAGATCATCCTCCTGATACAACAAGGTTTAAGGTTTAATGCCCCATCAGGGCACATACAAAAATCAAGCACTGACTACATAAATAAGTGGAATAAATCAATGTTTATCTTTCTCTCTCTCTCCTTCCCTTTCTCTTTAAAATCAATAAATATAAATTTTTTAAAAATTAGTGTTCCATACAAATGTGGAACACTAAAACAAAGGTTTTAATGATATAGATAGAAAATTCACTTAAAGAACAGAAAATCTAATTAGAGAAAATACATGTAATTAAAGAATAACATTTTCCTTTTCATCTGTATGGCAATGAATGAAAAATCAAGTACAAAATACAAATATTGTACACTGTTAATATACTCAAATTAAGTATTTTGAATTAGATAATTTTGATTTCTGTAATAATTTCTTATTTATCACAAAATATCTTGATTGCTACTTTACTAAAATAATAAATACCTTAAACAGTTTCTGATATAAATATTACTAATATAAATATTTTCCAGTTAAACTTGTTCTAATAAGTCCATATGCAATTCAAAGACAATGATTTGATTTCTATAACTAATTAAGACATAATATAAAAAGGTGATATTCTAAGCAATCTTGAACTATTGCCTAGAAATTGGATTAAAAATTAGATGATTTTATACCTCTTACATATCTACATATACTCAAGAAGGAAAACATATTCACACACATGGTTTTTTTTTGCCAGGCATTTAAAAGATATTATATTTCAATTACCGAAATAAGGGGCCATGGTACAGAAGAGAGACTGGCAAGCAGAAATAAGGATAAATGTTTAATATTTGGTATTGCACAGGTTTACAGCACCTAGACTCATTTCTGGGTTGATTCTTCAAATAAGAAAACCTATAAAAGTTGTAATTCTTGTGGTTTTCCTATGTGCAGAACTATTTCTAATGGCCAGGCTTTTCATAAAAGTCTTCTATTTAGTTGAAGCAAAGCAGATGACCCACTTTCACAGGCATATGCATGGGCCCAGCCTTAGTCATAGCACTGGAGCTAGTCATCATCAGCAAATGATGAGCTCCATAGAGAACCACACTGCATGTGACAGCAAAGTTGTAGGAAATTTCACTTCATCAGTTTCTGCTAGAGTCATCCAAAACCCCTTTTCTCTACTCAGTCAATCATCCAGGCATCATTACAGAAGCACACCTGCCTACCCAAAACTATTAGACCCATGACACCCCATTTTGAGAAATCAAAGAAATGAGAGAACAGAGATTATACTCTTCTATGGAGCACTGGAATAGATATATGATGGCAAAGGAGCATGTCAGAAAGGTGCATGTCTTGTTTTGCTTATGCTAGCTACTTGTTCATAGTTAGAGTGGACACGCTTCATGTACTTACAGATTAATAAGCTGCACACACCCACATTCACTCTCACTGCTCACACACAGCCCCACTTAGCTATTCTTTTGTCTGACTCCATTTTCTTTCACACAAAGTAAGATTAAGGAGATATAAGGGTTCTTCGGCTTTATCGTTGTTCTTAATAACTACCTATCCTCAACCATTATAAATTTAGAGGTGCAGGAACTCTAGAAAAATGGATAAAAACCCCTTAGGTAATTACCAGCAGCTTAACATTCACAATATTACCACAATGTTACTAAAAACCAATGGAACTAGATGGATTAAATTTAGCTCAGAGCATCTATTACTACTTTTGCAATAGTTTATAATGTAGAGAAATTCAGTGATAAATAATCTATTATTATAATGATTAACCCTATTAATCTTTAAGTTCCAAAACAGAATATCAAGTATTATTTCTAGTACAGAATATATAGGATATGGAAACATGGAAAAATCACCTGTTCAAAAGACTAGCAAGTAATTCTTGGATCTTACTTTTAGCTTCGACTTCTGATGAACATTTTTTAAGTGACTCTTCTTCACTAAAGGACTACCAAAAAAGCACAAATTAGGATTACTGTACACCCAAATAAGCATATACAATTACCAACGTATTTGTCAGGTAAAATAACACAGCTTTGACTAACTTACCTCTTGTGCTTAGTTTGAACCACTTACTAGTTCACTTTTATTTTTTTAATATATTTTACTGATTTAAAAAATATATATATTTTATTGATTTTTTTTTACAGAGAGGAAGAGAGAGGGATAGAGGGTTAGAAACATTGAAAGAGAATCATCGATCAGCTGCCTCCTGCACACCTCCTACTGGGAATGTGCCTGCAACCAAGGTACATGCCCTTGACTGGAATCGAACCTGGGACCTTTCAGTCCGCAGGCCAACGGCTCTATCCACTGAGCCAAACCAGTTAGGGCTAGTTCATTTTTATATGAACTCTTTTTATCTTCAAGTTATCATACTGCACTAGAAAGTGCACTGAAAGTCAAAACAAATTTAAAGCTCTAGTAGCAACTCCAAGCTTTCATGTATGATTACAGCAAGGCTCTTACTCTCCTAAAACTTGAATTTAACCTTGGGCAAGTTATTTAACTTTTCTAACCTACAGATCCTTATCTTAAAAAAACAAAACAAACAAACAAACAAAAAACCTAGAGAATAAGAGAGAGGAAAAGATTATAAACAATAGAACTACCTACCTTGAAGATTTGTGAAAATTAAATTGGCTAATGTACATTAAGTACTTAGTAAAGTGCCTGTCACATAAAAAATAATCAATCAATATGAACTAGGTAATTAAACTTTTCTCCATCTCCTAAATCATTAGACTTCTCTAAAGCCAAGACTTTTAAAAATATATATATTTTATTGATTTTTTACAGAGAGGAAGGGAGCGGGAGAGAGAATTAGAAACATCGACGAGAGAGAAACATCCATCAGCTGCCTCTGACACATCCCCTATTGGAGATGTGCCCACAACCAAGGTACAACAGTGGTCAGGGTGAGTCACAGCCGGTCAATTAGGTTTTATATATATAGATAGGCTATTGGCTAACTTGAGATTGAAATACTAGTTCCTAGATTTAATTTAAGAATATTTTAAATATATTATGATAAATTAGCTTCCTCACAAGAAAGGGGTCATGTACTAACCTAACAAGCAAACTAGATTAGTAAAAACAGCAATAAACTAGAAATCTTTCTCAAATAATGTGATAACCAGTAAGTACTCCAGTAAAATGTCATTATGCACCTGAGGTGGTCCTGAGGGTGTTACAGGAGAGTTATCTTCTCCAAAACTGAGCTTCTGGATACGCTGAGCAATGGGAATTCCTAATTCCTTTTCTAATATTTTGGAGGAAACAGTTTGAAGATCATGCACATTACTGATACCCAGTGCTTCAAGGCGTTTGGCAGTTTTATAGCCAATACCTAAACAAAATGAAATGCATAGGGTGTTACAATAGCTTTCTCCTTAAAATAAAGCTAATTAAAATACTGTCATTCCTGTATCAACCATGTCTTTAAATTCCATAAGGAATATTTTTCTAAGATCAAAGTTCATTACAAATTAAATTGTTGTTCTTCTGCTCAGGGCCTTTGAGTTATATAAACCACTTTGAAAACTTAACCCTAATATGTTTAATATAATATAATGAATATAGAGATATTCTTAAAAAATATTAATATTAAATTCAGGCTTGATAAAATGAGATTTTTACCACCTGTTATATACCACTGTGGAAGTTTTCAAGGATCATGGTGATTTTTCATATAAAGAAAAACTGTCAATTAGCATGTGCTTATTAGTTAATCTAACTGATTTCTAAACACATACCAAATATTTAACTACAAGTCATATCTGGCAATATTTGCCATCGCATATAATTAAGAGCCAGAAAACAAATAAAAAATTCTCATTGGCAAAATTCCTATCATACAGTTTTTTGCAGGGAAACTCAGTCATATTTTATCATAGGAAAAATGTTCAGGGAATTTAGTGCCCTTTACTCCTCTCATTTAAAAAATTAATTTTTCAGTTATCTGGTTTCCTTGAACAGTAAATAAGTAAATCAAAAGCAATGGTGTATAAAATTGTAAAATTTATGGCAAAGCAGTGAGTAACACATTTTGGAATCACATAAACCCGGGTTAAAAATGTGAAGAAATCTAAAGATTAACTTTCAGTTGTCTTAGAAATTCACTTTCATAGAATTCTATTATAACATGTTTGTCCCCAGCAATGCCATAGAAACAAAATTTAACATACAATTATTAATGGTCTATAAAAACCTAAATATCTAATCTTCAAGGATACAAACTTGCCCCACAACCTGAATAGATCACCAATCCTTTCAAAAAATCAATTTCCTCATTTTAAAAAATAAAAACTTCGCCTAAATCTTTGGAAGGTCTCTTGTAGCCTAATATTTTATACTAGAGGCCCAGTGCATGAAATTCATGCATGGTGGTGGTGGTGGGGGAGTCCCTCTGCCTGGCCTGCACCTTCTCGCAATCTGGGACCCCTTGGGGGATGTCTGACTGCCGGTTTAGAGATCCCTGCAGGATTGGGCCTAAACTGGCAGTCAGACATCCTTCTCACAATCTGGAACTGCTGGTTCCTAATTGCTTACCTGTCTGCCTGCCTGATCACCCCTAACCATTCGGCCTGCCTGATGCCCCTTACTGCTCGCCTGCCTGCCTGATTGACCCTAATCACCTCTGCCTCAGCCTCTGCTGTGGTGGCTTTTTCCGGAGAACATCCAGAATGACATCAGGAAGGACATTTGGCTGTCTAGTCCAATTAGCATATTACCTTTTTATTATTATAGATACTAGTGACCTGGTGCATGAATTTGTGCACATTAAAAGGAAAATTAATTAAATCTTTTAATATCACTATTCTCCTTTTTCTATAATAGAAGTGTTAACTAAATTCACCATTGACAATGACAGATTGAAATACACATGAGTGATTGGAGCCAGTGAGAGCTTTATATTTATCTTGCATGCGAGAGTCAACTTAGCCTTTTATATATAATAAACTTGCCTAATTAGACCTGCTTTCTGATGTAGCTAAACTTTTTCCAGCCCAGTGAAACACCCCAACTTCTCTTTCAGGTAATTGTCAGCCACCAGCAGTAAATAGCAACACAAAGCAGGTTATTATTGTAGCTCATACAGGGAGAACAAAGGGTAAAATGTTTAACTGTAGCACTGTTTGACTATATTTTGCATAGTGAGAAAATCTGAAGTCATTTTTAAGTTCCACCATTTCTTGCTTCTTTTCAGTTGGGTCAAGTTTCTAAACTTTCTAAATCTCCATTTTTCTGGCTAATGAAAATAGGATTCTACCAACTCTCCTACCTACCTACTCCAGGACTTCTGTGAGGATCAAATGAGATGAGGTACGTAAAAATGCTTTAGTGTTTGTACCTGGCTATCAAGCAAGTCAGGTTCCTGGGCTAAAAAAACTTCAAGGAGGCTAGTCGCTAGGGAGAGGAAGCTGGGCGTTGCTATGTGACATCATTACCCGGCGCCCACAGAGACCATTTCCCGACTGGGCTGTCGGCTGCATTTTGTGTCACGGGTCTTGGCTGCTTTGGCTGAAATTTGGTGGGGTATTGCCCTGGAGTGGTGGTGAGGCCTGTGTCTCACATGGGGGAAGCTAAGTGTTAGTTTGTCGGCGCCAGGTCTGTGGTGCCATGTATTTTAAATGGCCAGTGCATGTCATGGCAGCTCCTACATTTGAGAGTCTGCCCTTGCTGGTCAGTGCATGTCATAGCTTCCGGTCGGATGGATGGACACTTAGCCTTTTACATATATTGATAATCCTCAAGTAGAGTTAATAAAAAACTCCTTTAGATATAATGTACAGTATAAGATTATGAACCAGGGATTGGAAATAAAGGACTATATACTTCCAGTTATAGCTTTTATGATCATATTCAAACTTCACAAAAGTAGGTGAAACTAGAAAAGTACTTTTATATATTTCCTAATACAGATTCTCTCCAAAGAACATTAGCTTGTTTGGTTTCTCCAAGAGCCAAGTATATAGGCTCTAAGAATTAACTACATATATCTATAATTTTTCAAAAAAATACAATAAAATATATATGTCTTACCAGGCATTTCCTTTATGTGTTTCAGACTATGAATGAGATCTTGAGAACTTTCAGGTAGTAAGACTGTTTGTTGATTTGGTTTAAAGATGCCAGAAACTAGTTTTGCCAGTAATTTGTTGGAAGCCACTCCAGCACAGCCAGTGAGACCCAGCTGATTGTACATGGCTTCCCGCATCTCTGCTGCAATCTGAGATCCAACAAGAAGTCTGATGTGCAAGACGTCATGCAGGTTTATAGCTATAAAAATAGCCAATGTCATTAGAAGAACCACAAAACAATTTAATTTCCTTTTTTACAAATGCATTTTATTTATAAATGAAGGCTTATTTAACCTAAATTCAATGTTCCACCACCACCCACTTAACTAATCTGCTTTGTTCTTCACTGGAATTCTGTTAAGTAAGTAACTAACTACAGGGTGTGAACTCTAAGGCCTGTGATAGAGAATGCACAGACGTGCTTAATGATGAACAGAGTATGAAAACTCATCTCTCATGAAAAATTCCTACTTATATCAGTAAACCTTTTATATTCCTGTTTATCTGTAAGTAAGCATTAATAAGATAGTTAACATTACAGTTTTAAAGAACTGAATCTAAACTTTATGTACTGGCTGTATGAAAAACAATTTTAAATCTGTCCATATTAAAGAAATCTCTTATGAAAAGTGCAGGGAAATTATCAAGAAACCAATTTTCTTAGGTGTGAAAATGGTCTTACAATTATATGAGACAATCCTTATCCTCAGGTGTACTTACAAATGAAGTGTTAGATTGCAACTTACTTTCAAATGGCTCGTCAATCAATCAATCAATCAATAAAGCAAATATGGAAAATAGTAACAACAGTTGTATGGACAAGAAGAATTCAATGAGTGTACTCATTGCATTATATTCTGTCAATTTTTGTGTAGGTTTAAATTTTTTAAAATAAAAACTTGTAGGAAATAGGAAGAATTCATGAAGAATTAGTAGGCCTGAACTAACTTCCACAAGGGTTAGATCAGGGGATAATAGGGTTTTGGTGCCTTGGGGAACTGGAACCAAGAGACAACAAAATAAATGTATTTCTTCTACCTCAAAATCTTGCTTAAAGATCGCTTTAAGAGAATAAAAAGTTATTCTAAAAAGTATATTATCAAGCCAACTCCTATAACTTAAGAGGTATGAAACTTAAAAAATGGTAATGCATGGACCATGTCAGAGAAATGAAAAGTGCAGAGCACTGAGCTACATGAACAACAGCTAATTTTAGCCATCTTAGATTACTGAAATATGGCTATACCTCCAACAAAAGACGTAACATTTTCAGAAAGTCAATTAATTTAACTCACAGAACATTAAGCCAGGGAAGATATAGGCATAACCCACGACACAGACAACAAGGGGAGGGAAAGGGGTGGATGCAGGTAGGCAAAGTGGGGGGGAATGGGGACATCTATAATAGTATCAATAATAAAAATATAAAAAACACAATACTGAATAGAATAAATAAGAAACCACTTACACTGATCATTGTATACATGACCCGACACAGTCAGCGCTGAAAGGTCATCACTTGGAAGCTGCTGTAGTCTCTTCTCAACCATCTCTGTTAGATCCACAAAATTTTCATCAAATCCAAGTCTCTCAACAACTGGACTAAATTCTTCCAGCAACTCTAAATTTAAGTAATATTGGAACACAAATGTAACAAGTTATAACTATAATAAATTTAACTATTTCATGCTTACCTCAAGTATGTTGTTAAAAGTTTTACATATATTCACAGTTCCACTATATATATATATATTTTTTTTCAATATATTTTTATGATTTTTACAGAGAGGAAGGGAGAGAGATAGAGAGCCAGAAATGTCGATGAGAGCGAAACATCGACCAGCGCATCTTGTACACCTCCTATCGGGGATGCGCCCGGAACCAATGTACATGCCCCTGGGCCCGGAACCAATGTACATGCCCCTGACCGGAATCGAACCCGGGACCTTTCAGTCCACAGGCCGACGCTCTACCACTGAGCCAAACCGGTATCGGCAGTTCCACAATATATTTAATAAAATCCTCAGTAACTGGGATTTTTCTTTCTGCATCACATTTTTAAATAAAGACAATATATTTCTAACAAAATAAGTCCAAAAATGATATTCCCTGGGCAGATACTCATAGCAGATTTAGTGCAATCTCCTATACTTATAGTTACTATATTTTACATTAAATATAAATGATTATAGTTAATTGTGATCTTGAAGCAGTGGGTCAAAGAATGAATATGGTCTGCCTAGAAAAGCAAAAGCAATGATATATTCTAGCTATATTTTCCACAGGAGTTTCTAAAGATAAAACAAAAAATTATAATTTACAATTATTACTGAGCCTAAACGAAAACTTACTTGATTTTCCAAATACACCACAATTCAATATTTTAATTCAAATTTCCACAGCCAATAATGAATCTGAGCATTCCTTTTTTCCAGGTAATTATTGGACATGTATTTGCCCTTTATGTCAGGTGCCCATTAATATTTTTGTCATTTTTCTTGAGCATTTTTGCTTGTTAGTTTGTTAGCACTTTTAGTTATATTTAACCCTTTCATCTGAAACTATTACAAATACTAAATGTACAAATAAAAACAGGAGCAAAAATACAAATAAATATAAAGCTAGTTTTTCATTATGTTAAATATTACAAAAGCATTTCCCAACTAACATTAATGTATTAACCTAAAGAATATCTCTCATAATTAATTTAAATTAAAAAATTAAAGTATTTGGTCCTGGATGCAGTGACTCAGTGATTGTGGGTTGACCTATAAATCAGGAGGTCATGGTTCAATTCCCAGTGAGGGCACATGCCTGGTTGCAGCTTGATCCTGAGTAGGGGGTGTACAGGAGACAATCAATCAATGATTCTCATTATTGATGTTTCTATTTCTCCCTCTCTGAAATCAATAAAAACATATTTTCTTAAAAATTAAAATATTTGGCTTTCTTTAGTATATCTTCCCATTTCTACACTATTAAATACTGTTTTACATTTGTTCTTATATTTACATGACACCATTCATGACAGATTTCAAACTTCTTTTAACTTTACATTTTTTGTCAAAGTTATTTATATAAAGTCATTCTCACAAATATTTCAAAAATTGGGCAAGACATAAAATAAAGTTATTAGCAAAAAGGAACTGACTTATGGCGATTTACACTTATTAAAATATTCATGTAATGAACAGGCCTCCTATGTAAAAATTAATGGTAAAATAATTTTGGTAAAATAATTGCCTATAATCTGTACCTGTAACCTTATACGATATCTCTCTGTAACGCGTCAAGTCTTCGCCATTAACTAACACCAGCTGTGGACATTTTTCTTTTGCATCTCTTACATTCATAAGTTTCTTTACTCCAAGTTCCCTAGCTTCATAGTTGCAGGTAACCACCAAAAATTTCTGCTGAACACCTATAAAAATAAATATTTATGAGAAAACGGAGCAGAATTAAATAAACATCTTAAAGTATAATTTACGAATTCCAACTTATAATTGTAAGGCAATCTGTTTTTATAAAAATAAAAAGCTCTAGCCCAGCCGGTGGGGCTCAGTGGTTAAGTGGCCACCTATGAACCAGGTCACAGTTTGATTCCTGATTAGGGCACACGCCCAATGGGGGTGTGCAAGAGGCAGCCAATCGATGTTTCTCTCTCATTGATATTTCATTCTCTCTCCTTCTCACTTCCTCTCTGAAATCAATAAAAACACACTGAGTGGCCAGATTATTATGATCTCTGAAGGCATAATGATCTGGCCACTCAGTGTATATCCAATATAATAAAAGACTAATTATGCAAATTGTCCCCTCAACCAGGACTTCGACCAGCAGGTAGGCTGGCCAGATCCCACCCATGTCCCCTAACCCTGGCCAGGCTGGCCAGACCCCACTCATGCACGAATTCATGCACTAGGCCTTAAATATATATATATATCTACACACACACACACACACACTGAGTGGCCAGATTATTATGCATTCAGAGATCATAATAATCTGACCACTTTGGGGGGGGGGGTTGGTAAGATATGTACACATATAATACCTTAATAAAAAAATGAAAAAAAATTGGCCATTCTGTGTATATTTAAAATAAAAAGCTGCAGCCGGTTTGGCTCAGTGGATAGAGCATCGGCCTGCAGGATGAAAGGTCCTGGGTTCAATTCCGGTCAAGGGCATGTACGTTGGTTGCAGGCACATCCCCAGTAGGGGGTGTGCAAGAGGCAGCTGATCGATGAGTCTCTCTCATCGATGTTTCTAACTCTCTATCCCTCTCTCTTCCTCTCTGTAAAATATCAATAAAATATATTTAAAAAAATAAAATAAAAAGCTGTATCTTGGTTTAAAAATACAGTGCCCATTCATCAAAGTTCTATAAGTAAAATTTAACAGAAATTTACCACACATCAATATATTCTATGGAGTCTTCAGCAAAAAATACAAATAAAATCATTACGGAATTTTTTTCAGGCAATACAAAACCAGAATAATTTATACTGAATTAACTTATACAACTCTAGCCCATGATTTACCAAAAAAATAAAGCAGATGAAAAATAACAGTACAATTACTGGTGCTGCCAGAAAAACTCACTTATCTTCTGAGAAACTGTCCAATGAATATAAGGCAAAGTTCTGTTAACACGTGTCAACCTACAGCAATTACCAGGGATCCCCCCCCACCCCCGTAAATGTTCTAATTATTGAACTATTCTTCCTACCCACCTTCAGAAGATTCGACAGTGAGGGGCCATTCTGAGCCCTCTCCTTATCAAAATGATTAAACCCTGATCTACAGCACCTATAGAAATTCTAGTTTACTGAGTCTTAGTGGCTTATCATCGCTAAAAATCTGCTTTCTCTTTTACACAAATTGATTACGTGTTTACCACCATAATATTCACCTGTAACAATATGATAAACACAAATACGTAGAAAAAAAAGTAAGAGGATTGTGTCAAATTCACCATTTATTAAATGAGGCTTATAAAGTTTACACCTGGTATTGAAGCAAAGATTCTGTCCATAAAGCACGTTAAAAACTGCTTCCAGGCCTGATCGGTTTGGCTCAGTGGAATAGAGCTTGGGCCTGCAGAGTTGAAGGGTCCCAGGTTCAATTCTGGTCAGGGGCATATACCTGGGTTGCGGGCACATCCCTAGTAAGAGGTGTGCAGGAGGCAGCTGATCCATGTTTCTCATCAATGTTTCTAACTCTCTCTCTCTCTCTCTCTCTCCCTTCCTCTCAGTAAAAAAAAAAAAAAAAAAAAAAAAAAAATCAATAAAATATATATTTTTTAAAAAGCTGCTTCTAAAATCTAACGTGGTTAATAAATGAGAATACAATAAACATAAAAATGAGTGCGAATCCTCTTATACAATGAAAAACATTCTGGACATTCATAATTACCTAAAGGTTTGCCCTTTAGTTCCGGATTTGAAATCATTTCTACTTGTGCATAAAAGCAATCCAGGTCCACATGTACTATCACTCTGGATGAAGAACTTCCTGCTGCCACCACCCGATCATGAACTGATCAAACAAATACAAAGAAACACAGACATATATTCAGGCTGCTTATCATCTCTGAGCAACTGGCAGTTCCTTATAACATGGTGACGGAGGAAAAAAAGAATGCAGAGTGATTTCAAAAGTCCTTCCTGGGAATTATTACATCTGTCAAGACATCTACAAATTACAAAGACATGAGAGCAACTCCCTCTACAGTAGGCTCTCCAGCCCTGTTTACTTAGCACTTCTTTGTGCACTGTATTTTTCTCAAGAAGTAATAATTTTGAGGGGGAAGGAGGTTAAAACTTGATTAATAATGGAAGATGCAAGAGATAATCCTCTCACTTGGGAGTTGATAGTAAAATTTAGGGTAAATCAGAAGGGGCAGAAAAGTTTAAACACTGGTTTCAACTAACTTAAAAGTTATCCTAAGTGCCATGTCCTTCCATTAAAAAAAAAAAAAAATCAGAAATACAAAACTGCAGAAGGCAATATATGTTTTCAGTGGGTTATATTTAGCTCCTCTAAAAAGATTGTGACTCAGTGCTGAAATCACCAGTGGCTCGCATATATACACTACCAATAAACGCTCGCTCAATTGAAAGAATGCGTAAATATTTCTTGGAGTGTTGTGCTGATATTCTTAGTTTTGACAAATATACCACGGTAAGGTAAGATAGTAACATTAGGTAAAACTATTTCTCCAACTTCTGCAAATCTAAGATTATTCCAAAACTTTTTTAAGTTTTTAAAAAAGGGGGAGCCGAAACCGGTTTGGCTCAGTGGATAGAGTGTGCGCCTGCGGACTGAAGGGTCCCAGGTTCGATTCCGGTCAAGGGCATGTCTATTGGTTGCAGGCACATCCCCAGTGTGTGTGTGTGTGTGGGGGGGGGCGGGGGGGGAAAGAGGATGTAGGAAGCGTTCGAAAAGGTCGATGTTCGACGTTTCTAGCTCTCTATCCCTCTCCCTTCCTCTCGGTAAAAAAATCAATAAAATATATATTTAAAAAAAAAATCTTTAAAAAAAGGGGTAGGGGAAGGAAAGGAGAGCCCGGGGTGGATGCAAAGCTGATAGGAGGCTGGACGCGGGTCGCCAGGGAGATGACCACGGCGCACGTGCCTCGTGCAGGGTCCCGAGCCGCTCTCAGGGGGTCTCCGAGGGACCCCCTCAACGTCCGAGGTGAAGCCACCCCCCTCGGTCTCAGCCACAAAGCCAGGCAGCAGACAGCCGCCCTCGTGGCAGCGCCAGGAGCCACGCGGGGCGGGGACGGTCACACCCCAACGGCCGCCGCCACCGCCCCGGGCGCCCGCCCGCCCCGCCCTGCTCCTCGCGCCCGACGCACCCGCCGAGCCCACCGACATCCCCGCCTCCGCGCGTTCCCTGGCCCGAGCGCGTCCTCTTCCCCGTCGCCGGCGCCTTCCGCCTCGGGCTCCGCCCCCAGCTCCGCCCTCCCTTCCGCGGCGGCCAACCGTATAGCAGCTTCTGGCCGGTTCCGCCCGGTCTCTAGGGAAACCGGGGGCCCGCCCCCGGCCGCCTCAGCCTTCGCGCCTGCGCGGTCTGAGCCGATTGGCCAGTGGCCCGGATGGACGCGCTGTTGGGGAGTCGTGGTGGGGTCCACGTGCGGAGATTTCCTAGCCCCGTCGAGGCCGAAGGGGAGGGGTCCCTCGGAGAGGGGGAGGCAACCAATCGTGGTTCTCACCCCAAACTGCTCATTTTTTTGTGTGTGTGTTTTTGTTTTGAGGTCAGCGATGTTAGTACTCTTTATCTTTATCCAGAGGCCCACCAGTTCTGCGGATCAATTGTTAGGAAAATCAATACCATATAGACAGGGAACGGGGATGGGGATGGGGATGGGGAAAAGGGTGAACATTAGGGCAAGAGCAAGGCGGCCACATAAAAGAATATGATTAGCAAGTATGTTAAGGTTTGTTGCATTTTGGTTGTTGTTTGATCCAAAGAGACTGTACCAAATTGGCCCCATGAATTTTTAACAATCTAAACTGAATAGAATTTTAATACATGAGTCAGATAAAATTTCTAATTGAGACCATCAACTTGTGTGACTTTGGCCAGGTCATGTAACTACTCTGAGCCTCAGTTTATCCACTGTAAAAAAATAAGAGTCCTACCTTCTTGGCCCGTGGCTCACTTGGTTGGAGCATCTTCCTCTGCACCAAAAGGTTTCAGGTTCCATTCCTGGTCAAGGAACATGCCTAGATCTCAGGTTCCATCCTGATAGGGGAGGCAACCAATCGTGGTTCTCTTATATTTCTCTCTCTCTTCTCTCTCTCTCTCTCTCTCTCTCTCTCTCTCTCTCTCTCTCTCTCATCATTAAACATATCTTTAGGTGAGATTTTCCAAATTATCCTATATAATAAAAGGGTATGCCAAAACTGGTTTGGCTCAGTGGATAGAGCATCAGCCTGCAGACTGATTCCAGTCAAGGGCATGTACCTTGGTTTCGGGCACATCCCTGTGGGGGTGTGCAGCTGATAGATGTTTCTCATTGATGTTTCTAGCTCTCTATCCCTCTCCCTTTCTCTCTGTAAAAAAAAAAAAAAAAAAAAAAAAAAGATATATTAAAAGGGTAATATGCAAATTGTCCTCTCCACTGGGAATTTGACCAGCTGGTAGTACCCCCAATCACCCCCCCACACACACTCAGATCAGCCCACAAACTGCCTGCAGCCCCTCCCCTTGGCCAGCCAGCCCAATCAGCCCCAATCAGGGCAGGCCCACCTGTGTACGAATTTGTGCACTGGGCCTCTAGTTACAAATAAAGTCCTGAGAATAAATGAATGACTAAATGAAAACTAACATACACCTTAATATTCCAATGTGTATCACACCCCTGCCTTCTGTTAAGATGTCTTGTGTGCCTGTGTATGTGTGCATTTCTTTCAACAGAGGAAATTTAGAAGTGTGTGTGTGTGTGTGTGTGTGTGTGTGTGTGTGTACAACTATACATATATCTAAACACTTATGTAATTATTTTCACAGGATCTGCTTTTACAAATAGGATGTGAGAACCTTGAGAACATCTTTTTAAAAAAAACATTTTATTGATTTTTTACAGAGAGGAAGAGAGAGGGATAGAGAGTTAGAAACATCGATGAAAGAGAATCATCGATTAGCTGCCTCTTGCACATCTGCTACTGGGGATGTGCCTGCAACCAAGGTACATGCCCTTGACCGGAATCGAACCCGGGACCTTTCAGTCCGCAGGCTCTATCCACTGAGCCAAACCGGTTTCGGCGAGAACATCTTTAAAGGACATATTGATGAATCCGTAAAGGAGAAGAAATAACAGGCAGAGCCCAGACTCAGTGATTTGGAGACCAAGTCTTCCTCTTAGACATTTGAACCAGTTCCCTAAAATTTTCCATTGTAGGATCTAGGGGACTGATGTAAAACCCTGCTGATTTCTTTGTGAATGCTATTTGGTAAGTCTAGGTAAAGAGCTTTTGCATTAAGTGCCTCCTTGGCCACTAAGTGCTCCTTGGGCTATTTTCAAGGGTCCAATTACTTGTAGAAAACAGAGTGTTTTTTTTCTTAATTCCTCCATGTCAAGAATGACCCACACCATAATACATGGGATACCATGGCAAATTAAAACTGCTCCTTTGTAAGAGCCCTAAGCTTCCTACCCTCAACAACTTCAGAAAAAGTGAGGCAGCATGAAAAACAGCAAACACATAATAAAGCCCTCTTTCGTGAGTTTCATTTATTTTCCTGTCAAGTGTCAAATTGAAGAGTGGCTTTTCACTTAGTAGAATAACAGGCAAGTAGAACCTTGAAAACCCTAGGGGAGGGAGCAGGGCTGGCTTTATGAGTGTGCAACCTAAGCAGAAACTCGGAGCCCCATGCTGAGACAAGTCTCACACTTGGTTTCATGCTCCTCGACTGTCATCTTGAAATGGTTAATATTTGCAAAAGGGAGCCCGCGTTTCCATTTTGCACCGGACCTCACAAATTATTTAGCTAGTGCTGGGAACAAAGAGAAGTGGCATAGAAAAATGACACTTACAAAACACCTGTATGTCAGGCACCAGGCTCAGAGCTTAAAACAGTTATTTCATTCAATATGTCGCAGAGGGTAGGACATATTGGTAAAAGGTAATTCTCCTTTTACCAAAGATAAAATAGGCCAGCAGACACTAAGCTGCTTAACTCAAGGTTATGTATGAATCTAGTAATGGTAGACCCACTTTTCAGTTTTCCGTCGAAGAGAATTCATTAGTAATGTTTCTCCCGGAAGGAAATCATTCCCTCTGCCCATTTTTGTTGGAGCTTTGAATACCAGATAACCTGGAATAGGGAGAGTAAACATTCCACAAATATATTAAGAAGCATAAAAGACTCATTGGAGCTGATATGTGTTGTTTTGTTGTGACTTAGGGGACTTTTTGATTTGTTTATTTTTTAAGTGCTCTAACCTTCCCTCCAGTTTAATTAATAGGCTCTCAACAGATAATTTCAGGAAATAAATATTTTAAGGCTGGAACATAATTGTATATTTAAGTGCAAAATCAAATGTAAGGCAGAATAAATCAAAGTATGCTTGAAACAATATTCATGGGGGAGAGTATAGGGTTTTAGAGTAAGGTGACCAGAAGTCCCGCTTTTGGCGGGACAGTTCCGATTTTTAACAATTTGTTCCGTGTCCCGCGGCGTTTTAAAAAAGTCCAAAAGATTTAAAAGAATCTTTCCAAGAATTGGGACTTTTTTAAAACGCCGTGGGACACAGGACAAATTGTTAAAAATCGAAACTGTCCCTCCAAAAGCAGGACGTCTGGTCCCCTTATTTTAGAGTGTAGCTGGTGGACAAAGAAACAATGGGGGTGTATTTTAGAGCTTCAGAAGTCAGGATACAGTTCCTCATGTTGTGGTGAGAACCGCTGCTGGAGAGCAGCCTAAGACCATCAGAAAACACAGGTATTTACATTACGATTCATCACAGTAGCACAATTACAGTTATGAAGTAGCAACAAAAATAATTTTATGGTTGGGGGTCACCACAGCATGAGGAACTGTATTAAAGGGTCGCGGCATTGGAAAGGTGGAGAACCACTGGGAAACATTAAAAGTGACAAGCATGAACACTATGTCAGTGCAGGCTGGGAAGGTGCCTGCTTCTCTCCTACGTCCTGAATTGGCCGCATAGGGTTCAGAGGACGGGCTGGAGACAGTGTTCAAGGGCTTCGACATGAAGAGAGGGTGGATATTTACGAGTGCCTATATTTCATGTTGGTGGGTGGCTAGGTAGTCAGAGGTTGACCATGGGGTCAAAGGGACAATTTGGATTGGCAAAAACACAGAGAGTGTGGTTTTGTAAGATCTTTGGCCTAGTGCAAAGATGGACTCTCAGTCGGGGTCCATTTTGTTCCCTAGGAGATATTTGGCAACATGGTCAACCTTTCATGGTCACATTGGGGAACGGGAGCGCTCAGTATGGCACCCGTGGGTGGAGGCCAGAGATATTATTGAATATGGACAGCCCTTCGCTGTAAAAAATCACCACCCCAAAGTATCAGTGGGGCCAAAGTTGGGGCGCTCTGGCCTAGTAGTGTTTATACCATCCTGCTCCCCACTCCCTAACGCCATCCTTAGTTTAAGGTCCCCAGTTGTAATAAAGAGTTGGTCTTCAGATTTGTGCTTTTAATTATACATGACATTTTTTAGAGAGAGCAGGATATAAGAGAGGGAGGCAAGTGTTATTTAATTGCTTTTCACTGTGGGAATCTACATACTGAAACTAAAAAGCAAATGAATGCATTTTTGAGAAAAAGAGATCTAAGAAAAAAAATGCACATGTTTACAGAGCATGTGAGTTGCCTGTAGGGAGAAAGGCTAATGAGTCAGAAATAATTTACAAGGCTTAGACTCAAAAACCAGAAAACACAGGAAGGCTTCAGATGGTTGAAAGCACACTAATTATGATAGGTTGTTGTACAACATGCATGTCAAGCAGCATTTAATAACTTTCTTCCAAGGATCGGAAACTCTGTGCATAAAAGCTTCAAATGTCATGAAGAATCTCTCTCCCTCTCTCACCAGAGCTGCATTTTCGAGCTTTCTTGGTATAACCTAAAAATATTTGCTTCTTCCCATGTGATTGCGGCTAACAGAAGGTGTGAGAAGCTGGAGTTTTTCTAACAGTCAGCTTCTCTGTGCTTTGACCTTTCTGTGGTTCTGCAGTTCTGATGAAAAGCCTGCAGTCAGTTTAGTAATAACGTTTCAAATGTCGCCTGTTGGGGTGTACTGGATGGACCTCGCCTCATCATTTTGGAGAGAGAGAGGTGGGAACTAAAGTGATCACAATACAAATCTTTTGGTCCTATCCTATAAAGTCTGCAAACTT